TCAATTCAAAAACTGTGCCATGGAACTGTCACGTAGATGTGTCACTGTGTATAGCTCCTTATGTTCAAATGACTCCTAACACACTGGTTTGTTAACAGAGAATGTGTAGGACGCCATTCAAAAGCGGATAAGCCCAACTTAGACTGCTTTTCAAGTATGGTGTCGAATTATAGTCGCAATATAAACTAATAAGTTATTACTATTGGCGTGCCCAGGCATCCGCAGACACGACAAATTTGTAATTATTACCTATTATGATCGGATCTCTGTATTGTGAAGCGGAAAATGTTATGCTATGAGAAGCCTGACCAGATTGTGTTTAAGAAAGTGCTCTACGTACGGCTCAGTACACGGCAGCAAATATCAACATTTTTTTGTATAAGATTAGCCCGTTGTTTATTGAACTTTGAGACAATATGTGCTAAAGGAATGAGGGATATTTCCCAATGCCTTGATCTCCTTGTTTACTTCCGTAACCATGGCAAATCAGTATCATGTCAACTGTGATCTAATAATTGAAATATTAGCAGCCGCTCGGACAGTTTTTCACTCAATTTTTTAAGTAATTGGTAATATTTACTCGTTTTTGAGTGTTATTTCTACAGTGTCAGTTATATTTAAAGAATTTGAGTATAAATGAAATATTTCAGGTGTCATTTTGTCTCGGAACGAGTTTAGTTACAGTAACCTAAAAAAACGGCCCAGAAAATAAGGGATGGACTAAAATTCGCCGTTGGAATCTTGAACATTTTAATTAAAATAGTGATTGGATCTTTTGTACAAAGCAATCCCCCCAAGTTAACGCTCAAATCCCGTTGACGCTCAAAATAAAAAAAAATAGTAATTATCCAGTTAGGAATGCAGATTGCGCTGGGAATGCAAATCATTCCGAACTCCAACTGAATACTTTGTTATTTCCAAACGTGCCCGGGTGTTTTTCTCAAATCGACATTTTTGCATTAGTGGCTTTGTACAAAACATACAAATTATTACATAATGGTCGAGCACACGAAGATTTTTATGTGGTCAAGAGTAGGCAAGGGGCATATATTATGTAATGTTATATAAGTTAGAATAAACAAGGAATCCTATTCGGTTTGCGACAGTGTAACACGCTACCGGTATGTCAGATTGTCTAATCGCCTGATGTCTTGACCAAACAGTGCTGATGAGTGGGTGGCGATTAGTCATGGTTATTATTCACAATGCCCTCTTTATTTCAATTGTTATCAAACAATTGAGATCCGATTTTCAAGAGGAAAGTATATTTGAATTTCGTGATCATGTTATCTGCCTTCGTAGAATGACGAAATTTATTGAAGCCTGGCTTCCGCTTTAAACAAGACAGTCGTGATCTTTGGTGTGGTGTGTCACGTATGATAAATATTGGGTTCTCCCGTAGAGTGTGTGTACCAGGTTAGGGTTAGGCCATAATTCGATTTTTCTTTTTTTAGTTCTATTACGAGTTCGGGCACAGTCTGTGTTATCCAAGTGAATATACCCTCTGCCCATAGGTTTCAGTCCCTTTTCATAACTTGATGTAAAGTAGGCTAACAAAGTCAGTTACCTCAATATAGGTACACAACGCTTCTGGAGCGCCAAATATTGCGTTAACTTTGCTGTGAAGTCGCAGTTGGGCATGATTTTAATGATACTTGAGTCGTAGCTGGAGTCTTTTTTCTTTCAATTGCCTGCATGAGTCCTAATTGTGACTTTTCATTTTCAATAGGTAATAGAAGAAAGATTTCATACGCCAAATGTTTCTTTTGTTTCCTAGACGCAGGAGCCTGTCAAATTTTCTGAAACCGAAGTCGGATGTAAATTTCATCGAGTCCGCACTCCGCAGCCCTGGCTGTTGTTTTTAAAAAATACTTGGTAGCAATAATGGTAGTAATCAGAGGATTTCGGAGGAAATCACCCGTTGCTCCGAAGGCACGGAGATTTGAGAGAATAACGTAACTTTGCTTCGGCGCTTGAAAAAAAAGAATAATTTAAAACGCGCCGAGATATCGATCGTTCTTTCAAATGTTAATATTTAATGAATTCAAATTTTTCGGACGTTTCAGGATGTGTCGAATACGCTGTTGTATTTAAAAGTCGCTTGTTTTGAATTTAGTTAAAAATAAAACATTTCATTTTGAAATGACAATTTTCACAAAACTTTTAAGCTTTCAACGGCCTAATTTAGCTCGAAATTTACCACAAGACACTTTTATCAAAAACAAGTTTTATAACATCATTATTTTGTAACAATAGCCCGCTCTTGATGTGGATTGTTATTGAACAATTGTTATCCAAAGTTGAAGAGGAAAGTGTATTTGTTTAGTCATAGAATAGTATGTGACCCCTTTCAAATATCTCGAAAACAAAATTAAGTGCCACAGTAAAGTGACATGAGAACAAACATATCCACGGCAAAAACTACAATAGTTAACCGAAAATTCTTCAGTTGACAAGTTGTATTTACGAGAGATGTATCGGGGATACAATTTTATAATTATCCCACGGCTAAAGCATATGGCGAACCAGGAATTCTCTTTCGATCACGAGTTCATGTCGAGTATGGGAATGGTTTAAATTTTGTTTCAGACGTATGACTGGATCACCCTATGACAGAGAGGTCGCCTAGTACACGATTGATTATCCCTCACGGGTTTCGAGCCTGGGAAACCACGTGGATTTATCGGAGGCAGGGGCATAGCGGGGCTATGATTTCTAAGTGTCAAATTGGGCCGTAAAAGATAGCTAAAAACTGGATTTCTAAGACCTAAAAACCCGAATGTTAATTTAGTAAATAAACAAGCTAGATTGGGCACCATACTTGCTTTGTATTGTTATTATATGAATATAAATTAAAATGTGGTCCGTGATAAATTGATAGAGATAAGACTATTTAAATAGTAAACCTCGCCATATGGAATTAAGATTTTTAGCGAGGCCGGTTCTGAGTGCGTGTATTATCAGAATTATAGTTTAAGACCCTCTCATAATTCCATCAAAGTCGAGAATCAGAGGGGCGAGGCGTTATTTTTGTTATAATGATAAAACTATTTGTGACTTATAAAAACGTATTATACTTGACTGGGCATATGGTATACTTGACTATGATTATGTATTTAAATACTTTGCGGATATTGAAATACGATTATGCCCAAGTTAGGAATCGGAGTGTGGTGTTACACCTTGAAATTAGGGGATGGGGGGAGGGGTAAATAAAATTCTATGGGGTTATATAGTGGAGAGTCCCTGTGGTTTGAAAAAAAGTGATGGGCAATAACAGAAGAGTAACAAATAATCATTGTTGGCAAACTTTTTGAAGCGATGTGTTTTGCACTAGAATTCTCCTATATGAGGTTTCCCAAATTTTGCAGTGATGAGACACTAGTATCGCTCAAATTCAGTGAACGTTTCTGGCTTATTCCAAAATTTTGTCGAGACTGTCAACGGTTGATAAATGATAACAATTTTTTTTTGGAGTAGACAGGAGGTAGCGATACGGCCATAAAGGTCAGCTCAACCATATGCGCTGACGTGATTAAGATCTATACTGGACGGTGACTAGTGGCAAAACTTAGACTAGTACGATATTCATTACATAAGTTTCTAGAACAAAATTCTCGGATTCTTGAGTAACTGAAGTATGCGTACAAAAATGGCGGACACCGGAACATAGTAGGGGAAAGTGGGGAAGGTTGGGACACTTTTTTTCTTTTGCATATTTTGAGCCGTTAATTCTGCATATTCTCTTAAGTTTGCGGGACTAATGCATAGAGGGGTAAATGTAGTTTTTATTCAGCAACAAAGAAATTCCCTTGCGACACACATCTTACTACCAAAATGCTTTAAAAAACGTCTGTTAAGTGTCCCAATGTACCCCACTTGTGGGGCACAATCGGACAGACCCTGGGGCACAATGGGTCAGTCTGTCAAAATTCAGCGAAGTATGCCCTTAAAATAAGCAATTAATCAGCATAATCGTCTTAAGTACGGGGAGACTTCGAATTTGAAGATTTAATATTTTTAAAATCAATGTTCAACTGAAATAGTTCAGATATTTTTGACAAAACATTTTGCAAAAAAATTGATTATTTCCTTCCTAGTATCTAAATCTGGAAATATTATTGATTCTCGAATATATTCCATATTGGGCCATGGGTCGAAAGAAACCATTATATTACACAAAATATAACGCATCTCTAAGTCTCTAAGCACTTATTGTATCAAACACTGTCGAATTGTGCCCTGTAGAGCATGTCCCACTGAACCCCGGTCCATTGTTCCCCATAGGAAACAAATATTTTCAGACCATCCCACGGCGAAATTCGGAAAGCACATCCACTCGACAACGTTATGAATATTTTACAATGCACTATAGCTGAAAAATATCAAACGATGGTTTGTCTCGTTGGAAAGGCTAAATTAAAAAAAAGAAAAAAACTGGAACGGTGAAACTTTTTTTTCAAACCTCCCAAAACCAATTTCACCCCATAGCTTGCGCCAATCTACCCGTCCGTTGTTCGTTCGCAGGGACGTTGTAACTCACTGAAGGGCGGATTGGAACATCGAGCCGCGGACAGGATTGCGGATATAGTATCAGTGTGATAGCTGATTTTCCACTGTGCCCCATGTCCCAACGTACCCCACCTTCCCCTATGTGTACCAGGTTACGCCATAATTTTATTACGATTTTTATTTTTTTTAGTTCTATTACGAGTTGGGGACTAGCCAAATGACTCCCCTAGTAGTGTTAGTTAGTGAAATTAGGGCCTAACCCTGGTACACACACTCCGTTCCGGTGTCCGCCATCTTGGTACGCATACTCCAGGAGCGCCCTTCAATGTTGACTAACGCCCTTCAATACACGAGTGTTTTAAAGAGGGTGGGTGCGGTTTTCATGTCCCTTTTTCGTAATCTAACCCCTGAGACTCATCTTTTAGTATGTCGTTTATATTCTTGCAGCGAGCAAACATTTTATAATTTATTATCATTTATGCATTTAGTTTTCTGTAAATTAATAAATGAATTAATTACAACCATGTCGAGGAAGCCCGTCAATCAAAAAACTCAAGAAGAGTTGCTGCAGTTACTTGAGCAGGTAAGGCATTACCTTGATTCTTGAAAAGTGCACTTTGACGAATATAATTTTACATTTTACGACGAAATAACCGTTCACTTACTGGGATTTTAGGAAGTAATACTTTTCCGCAAGCACGATTCATTATGATTACTTCGAACATGTTGAATATAAAAGAATGAAATTTTCAGTTACTAATATATATAATAAACCTAAACATCTAAATTCTTTGAACAGGAAAGAACTGTCCCAATGGAAAAAAGATAATGTTGTCATGTTTGTTAAGAAAATACTCAATTTTTTTTTGGTTTTGGTTTAAAAGTAGCCAACGACTTGCAACCTATTCATTGTTATTCATGGTTATTTCCTTTGGTGGGCATTTTATTTACCCCTCATATACTGGCAATATAATATGAGGCAATTAACCAGATGTACCAAACTTTATAAAATGACATTTATTCTCTATTTTTAATTTGTTAGTCTAAATAATAAGTATAAGTTAAGTATATAAGTATTTTGACTCCATAATCAGCATAACAGGCAATGAAATGATTGAACAAATAAATAAAAACTGATTATGAAATCAGGAGAGCAAACAAAACCTTAGATAGGGTTAGGGTTCGTACAAAATATAAGATGGAAGGTTTTGCCAAGAAGAAGTGGTACGTGTTCACTCACCTAAATATTTTAATATTTCATTCAACCCCTATTTTTGTACACTGTAGATAATATATTTTCCAACACTGCCATGGTTCATAAATTGACAACACACAAGGGCAACACACAGTTTTAAAAAATTTAATAATTTGAAAATATGGTGTATGTGGTTTAAGAATAGTTGAAAAATAAATAACAAAGGAAATATAAAACGAAGAAGTTTTTAATTAATGAATCCCTATTAAAATAAAACCGAATGTTTTGATGTATCCATACATTTGCGTTAATTCTTTTTTCTTATTTCAGCAGGAGCATCATGATGATGAAACTTCGATGACCCCGGATGACCCCAGGTTACAATATATTCATGACTACCTCCAGATGGCGATAAAGATCAAGTTAGACAAGTGGAAAAAACTGCTGAGTCAAGATGACAGTAAAATAATGATTCAACATTTTTTTGAAAGACATGAAGACAGATTGTTGGTGTTTGCATGTCCTGTGAGTAAATTTGACACATTTTAAAATATGATTTCAAAAAATTCGTAAAAACAAAGTAATAATGAAATTAATAGTTTAATTTTCAAACTTGTATAAAAGTTAATTTTTTTTGTAAAAAGCCATGAAAATTTAAATAAATTATTCAAAATTATTTTCCAAATTTTATATGAATTGCTTTACTAAGATTACAATTTGAGTTTATGGTTATAAAATGGTGTTCCCGTAGTATGTGTACCAGGATGACGCACAACCTGAACATAGTATGTGTACTAGGTTAGGGTTCAGGTTGTGCGCCATTTTGGTACACATACATCCGGATCGCCTATAATATACCTCTGACATTATGCATGTGTGATCTGATAAAGTCTTCAGTAAAGGTTCCTTTTAAAAAAAAATATCAATTCCACATATACTAGGGTCCATAATTTGCTTGTCTATAAACATTTTCAGAGCAAATATTTGTAACACCCTTACAATGACTTACATCCACTTTTTGCTAATCAGAAATACTCATTATGGCACAGTTTCGAAGGGCCACATGGCGGTTGAAGTGGGGTACAATGCTAGGCACAAAGTTGATTTCACATATCCCTTTACAAGAAAACTCCTTGTTTTTCTTAGTTTCATTGCATGATAAGATTATTTCACAGGGTGTTTTCACTTTGTTAAGAATAATGGGATTTGGAATCTACTACTAATAATAACACTATAAATATCACTGGAACGATGAACAGGGGGGCCATGGGTGCTAGATGCCTCTGGAAGGGTGCCACATGTCATGAATGGTTGGGAACCACTGCATTGTAGTGTGGATATCATACTCAGGCTTACCCTACTCTTATTTTCATTCATTTTTCTCAGTCTGGCGCAAACCTTCAAGTTGCAGACACCTTCAAAGCCGCAACAAAACACAAAGTTGTTTATTTTGTCAAGAACAATGAAGGACAAATTACCTCAAGCAATATTCGTTCATCTGTGACCACTGGCGAAATAAATCCAACAACATTTGAGCAACTGTCACATTTTGTACAAGAAGTAGGTCAAGTTATTATTACATAATATTAGGATATTTTTATATGAAGCTTATTCACTTCTTTCGTTTCGAACGAGGCTCAATACAGGCAGCTGCTGATATCTCACAGTATGTAAGATGTTACTTTTATTTTAAAGGATCGTAATCTTCATGGTTCGGCATTGCTTAACCAATTTTTCGCATGTTGGGTAAGGTGGGGGCCGTGAGATTTCAAACTCAAGATGTGTAACCTGCGATGGCAATACAGTTAACTAAAACTTCAACTCGATGCTGTGACAAGCATGTTCCCAATGCTTAGCACGGTACTCCCCTTGTACCTGTACTAGTGCAAATACCCTGATATCTTTTATTTTATTAAGTCATAAGATTATTTACGTCATGTCATGAGTGAGGATTAGTCCATGAGTCATTAGTATTAGCAAGCTGTTATTATCCTTCCTTCTCCTATAGTTTAGTAATTTCACAACTTCCCCGGGTATAAGATCTTTACATACCTAATATAACATATTGGCATACATACACTCCTGGAGTGCCTTTAACACCATGCATCAACTATGGAGCCATAATAATTAAATGCTTCAGCTGGCAAAGATGATAAGGATCAGTGCGTTTTGCTAGAAATGGGTTTTATTTCAACTTTAATTTTCAATTACCTGCTTATTCCAGTAATTTTTTTTGGGGCTCCCGAAGTATGCGAACCAAGATAGCGGACATCGGAATGTAATATGTGTACTAGGTTAGGGTTAGGCCATAATTTTAGGTATAAATACTACGGGAGGCTCTTGGCTAGTCTTCGAACTGATAATAGGACTAAAATAAGGAAAATTGGAAAAAAATTCCGTCAGAGCCCAGAATACCAATTCTAATTTAATCTATTACAAGAGTAAACTGGATGAGCATTTAAGCCAATACTTAGAAGCAGAGTGCATTGAATAATGTCTGAATGTCCACTTGTCTGCCTGCTTATCAATGTAATCCATATTTATCCACTTCAGATTCAAATGAGATTGAAGTACTTTATGATTTTGATATTGAAGTTGTTCTTCAGTTATGAATAAACAATAGAATACTTTTACGCCATTATACAGGGTAACCCGAAAAACAGAACCCGTACTGGTAAATTTCTCAATCACCTCCATAAAAATGAAATAAATTATTTGATTTTGTTTACACTTGAACTTCTATTTATGTATGATTGTTCACAAATGTTCCAGTAATCTGGTACATTTTGCACAAAAGATATGTTCTTCCTAGAACAGGGGTGTGCAACATATTTTTGTCGGTTGGCCGTATAACCAACTTCAGATATTTAGCCGCCGGGCCACACAAAATATTTAGTTTTCCCATGTACACGACAAATTAAACAATCATCACAATGCAAAATTTTATTGATTTACCATTTCAGTGGGACAATTGAAATTTGCATAGTTTGTTAACATCAGCTTTAACAAAACATAGGATTTTGGAGTGTTGACAGGGGCACACTAAATGAATTGGTGGGCCGGTTTGTGGCTTGTGGGGCCGCATGTTACTCCTGTTCTAGAATATGGTTCAAATGACCTCTTCGTTGCTGAAGACAGATCTGAATCCGTTGATAATTTGCTCTGATAACAGCTCAAGCCTCTTATCAGTGGCCACTTGTACAGAGCCTTGTTTAGAGTGAATCTGTGAAAATTCTGTATAAAAATAACTTATGTCCAGCAGTACATAGTTAAGCAACCAACTGAAAATACGTAAAAACCAAACTTGAAACTTAAACTGATAGATTCAAGAGTCTTGTTATACATGAAAACAAATATCATACAGGGTCGCTAGAAAAACAGAAAATTTCTCAAACAGCTATTCATTTTTACCAAGAATAACTTTTACAAAGTATTATAAAAACATTTATAAAAATAACAAAACATATAAAGGAATAGAATAGAACCTGAAAGGTAAAAACCTAGAACAGGGGTTCCCAAACCAGGGGTCGCGACCCCAAATTGGGTCGGAGTGATAAGTAGGTAGGGTCGCAAACAGGTCATGGGGTCGGTGGGGTCGCTGAGGTATGGTAGAGAATGGATGTACAAATCATCTTAGATTTGACAAACCATGTTAAATTTAACAGTTTGTACCATGGCTTACTGTAAAACAGGCCCATAGGCATCGCTCTATGTTTATGCTATAGAAAATGTAAGTGCTTATTGTGACATCATCGTTTGGTTTTAGCTTATTTTACTTAATACCACCACATTACCAAACTCAAAAGTCTAGTGAAAGAAGCTCTAAAGTTTCATGAAAAATATATATCGACCTGGGGGTCGCATTGGACACTTGAAAGTTGTCTTTGGGTTCGTCATGAAAAAAAAACTTGGGAACCCCTGACCTAGAACCTGAAAGAAATAAAAACGAATCAAATAAGAAACGAGTAAGCGTGTTTTTTTTTTATTTCATTTGACCTTTAACTCTTCTGCTTTTCTAGAGACTACCCTGCATTTATTTTACGTGGGTCTGACCAATCTGGTTTGAGGAAGACCATATATATTTGTGTTAGTGTGCAGCAAGACTCTTGAATCACTTAGGATAGTTATCTTCACTCTTGCTACAGTTTCCTTGAATTATACGGAACCATCGGCGCAAAAGCCTAAGAGACGGATAAGTAGTTAAGCAGTCCCGTAGAAACTCAATCAATGGCACAAGTTGAAAATTTGAAGTTTAAATAATTTTTGTTTAGATTGCGACTTCTCTTCTCGGGAATGAAAAAAATCATTCAGCATGGCCTCAAGTCGTAGCAGAAGATGTGATAAAGCATGTCCGAACATTAAATACAAATGTTCAGGTATGGGGAGGTCACACTAGAGGGCAGACTGTACTTCCTTTACCAGAAGGGGGAGAAAAAATTGATGACGAGCGCTCTGAGTCTCGTGCCAGTTCATCATCCAGCAGTCGGTCTTCTATGTCATCGGAGGATTTCAACAGGGCAAGCAAGTGAGTATTTTTGTTTAAGCTTTTCAGGCTGTACTTTCTGTGTCCAGGCTAAACAACAACCATGTAAGCTTTGAAAAAACGATGTCCCTACATTCATATCTTCTGTTTTACTAATATATAAAACCTGTTGTATTCCTTTTAGTATATTTTCCCCATTTTATGAATAGTAATGAATAATGGGGCGTCACAGTTCTGATAACCGACTGATTTTTGTGACATCTTCACTTGTGTTAAATTATTTTCTTCTTTTTGTAATTGAATGCCCATTACTTGCAATGTACGGTACTCTAATACTCTATGTCTATACCAGTAATATTTTTGCTAACTGGTAGGGTGTGAGTGACGTTTACGATGTACTAGTAAGACCCACATGCTCAGTGGCTGTAGTGGTTTAAGATTAAACCTAATTAAGAGTGGTTTAAGTGGTTTAAGATTTAAACCGTAATTAAGATTTGAATCGAACCTAAGATTTGAACTAGAAAAATTGAGTTCTTTTGAAAAAAGAATTTTTCACATTCTGATGTCTGCTTGCACAAAGCCTTGTTTCTTGTAAGGATATAAAATTGAGAAATTATAGAAAAATTGAGTTCTTTTGAAAAAAGAATTTTTCACATTCTGATGTCTGCTTGCACAAAGCCTTGTTTCTTGTAAGGATATAAAAATAGAATTATTACAGTCCTCACGAGAAGGGTAGCTTCTTACATATTAGTCTTTACTTGTAGAGAACCTTAATTGGAGTGAAAGTATGAAAACACCTGATAAAAATTATCATTTCTTCTAGGTTCAATGATGTCCACAGAGCCCTTGTCCATGCTATTGAGTCTACAGTGATAGAGTGGGCCCACCAGGTTCAATCTGTTCTAGAACATGATTCTTCTCAAGCCTTACTTTCTGGAGCAAATCCATGGCCAAGCTATGAGATCAAATTTTGGAAGACTAAAGCTACTAATCTACAGTAAGTTTTTTTAGATGATTCAAGAGTCTTGCTGCACACTAACACAAATATATTTCTATGCAGCAAGACTCTTGAATCACTTAGGATAGTTATCTTCATTCTTGCTACAGCATCCTTGCATCACATGCATGTGGATCCATCGGCATAAAAGCATAGGAGAAGGAGAAGTAGTAAGTCTCACAGAAATCTAATCATCAGCGCAAGTTTTCTAGAGTTTAAAATTTATCACTGACATTGTGATCACAATCAAGGTGATGCAGGTGGCGCATCGTGCTCAGTAATATGCTTGTCTGAAACTAATAACTGGCAAACTAATCCCATACCTGACTTGGACTGGTAACCAGACAAGAAGCTGTAGTGCGCCATATGATAAATCCATCTTATCGGTTTTCCTCTTCCTGTGATAATATGTAAATCACATCCTAACTATGAAATCCATGGAAAATTATTGTTTCATATGATTAAGTTATCATAATTTACCTATGGCTTGCTGTGATAATATGGTATCCTATTCTACACCCTAAGGCAATTTCTAATTAAAATATATTTAATTACCGTAATTTAATCTTTTATGTTGTTCACAACAGATATATCTATGATCAACTCCAAGATTCCAAGGTGCAGAAGATGGCTGTTCTACTGCAAAAATCAGGAAGTTCTTATTGGCCAACTTTCAAGGAAATGTATGACAAAGTTGTATCAGGTAAAAATGTTTTTTTTTGGCATTTAACTACATGAATGTGGTTGTAATACATTAGACTTGGGCAACTGTCACATGCCTATTTAGATATATCAATTAAGTTTGAACTACTTTTTATCTCTGGACAGGGGTGTAGGGAGTTGAGGCCGTTCAGGTTCAGAATCAGAACCCTCCCTCATTTGAAATGAAAAAAAGCAGTTTCCTGTATCGTACATAGCAATTTTTGTAGCTTAAAAAGCATTTTATATTCTTTAGAATCTTGAAAACCCATGTTTCACAGCCTTCGGCCAAACCTTGTAGCTGTTGCGGTCTAACTTGGCAACTAGAAATTTAAGAACCCCCCCTTTAAAAATTCCTGGCTAACGCCTCCGTCTATGGGGACCAGTGTGGGGTAGAAGTTCCTAAATCAAGAATCATAGGCCACCTGAATCTGGTACAAAATTAAGTCAATCGCTGAGAAAAAACTCACTGACGGTTAGTTGAGTACGGGTCCAAGTCATTTTATTTCAATGGGTTGAGTCACTCTGAGTATCCCCAACGCTCATAGAAACCAAATAAATCAACAATGCTTGAGGTAAAATTTCGTTAAATAAAGTGGCTTAATCATGAGGAAATCCACACCCTTCCAGGTCCATGTCAAGTTGGTTATTCGTTCTAGAAGCTGGTATAACTTTCAACTGGCGCGGCGGTGTGGCTCAACGAGTTAAGCGCAGTGATGAGCTGGGAAAATCGTAACAACCGGAACGCAGCTAATTTGTGAAAATGTAATATATATTTACAACACGGCGAGGAGGACGCTGCCACAAATTTTTGTCTGTCCTAAGATAGAGCCGAAGGACTACAATGAAATATGAAAAAATTATCTGGTATATGTCTGTTCAAAATTACAAGAATATTTATACCAATTCAATACGAATGTGTTTATTAGAAAGGTATAGAATGAAATTTCACGGGGTCAAAGGTCGGCGAAACATCCATTACACGTTATTGCTGTGCACTAAATATTTGTCTGCCGTAATGTAAAATAAATTATGGTGTGACAAAACATAAGTTAATAAGTAAGTTTACAAGATGTACTAGAACTAGACTTTCTATGACACAATTTTATTTCAACAACCGGAACGCAAATGCAATAATATGTCTAACAACCGGAACGCCGTTCCGGTGCGTTCCGGCTACAGCTCATCACTGGTTAAGCGTTAGGAATACGCTCGCCACCGCACCTCTAATTACTCTGCGTGGGTTCGCAGGTTCGAATCCCATGCAGAGATGGTTATGTGCGAGAGGGTTGCTGGACTCTTCGCCGTCGTTGGGTGGTTCACGTAACCGCTAGTCGGTTACGGCTTCCTCCACCACCAAGTCCATGCTTCCGAAAACAAACAATACAGTATAACTAACTAATCCCATACCCGACTTGGAATGGTAACCGGACGAGAGGCCGTGGTTCGCCATATGGATGAGCCGTCTTATCGGCTTTCCTCTCCCCCTGGATAAATATGTAAATCCTATCCTTATACCCATACCCATATTTAAATCTCCCCCTATTTATAATTTTTATAATTTTTGATTACAGCATTGGCAGAGGCATCAGACATCAGCCTGCACTTACAACCCTTGAAGAATTGTGTGGAAAGCATGGAGCAAGGAGATTTTTCAGATTTGTCTCGACAGTTGCCAGTTTTTATGAGGCTTATAGAATTACTTTGGGAACACTCTGAACATTACAGAAGTGCACCCCGCATAATTGTGTTTCTTCAGGAAGTCAATAACATGATTGTTGATCAGGTTAGATAAAATATTTTCCTTTTATGTCATCATGTAATGTTAGAAAATTACTCCTGTTTTATTTTGTTCATACTTCATTTACTATTTCCTCGCTAAGAGTCAAGTCCAATGCTAAAGGAAACATATAACTGATTAACTAATCCCATACCTGACATGGACTGGTAACCTGACGAGAGTCCGTGGTTTGCCATTTGATTTAGGCTGTCTTATTGACTTTCCAGTTTTAGCTTTTTAAATCATATCCTATCTGTTGTGCGCTTATTTATGTTGCCTCTAATTTTTACATGTCCTTCATTTAGCCTGACAAAAATGCAGCATGTACAACTATATCATTTTAATGTCTGTTATGTGAAATAATTAATCCAAAGAGGCTTTTCACTTTAATGTATTTTGAATGGATTAGAGTCTCATATATAAAATTATTTAAAGAAAAATACTGAACACTTGAAATATCTCAATGTCATTACTCTGAATTATATTTTCAAAGATAACACACATCATTTTTTTATCTTCATAGGCTCGAACATATCTCGCTCCTGATGAAATATTCAAAACTGAGATCGAAGAAATGCAGGAAAGACTGCAGGTAAGTTTCAAAATAATCAATATTGAAAGCATAATTGAAAGTGATAACTTTCAGAAGTGTTATGGAATTAGAGTTCGAAGTCGAAATTTTCACTGGCCAGTTGAAATCAATTTTTATAGCCATTATATGCAATATGCATTGACAAAACTTATGTTTTCTTTTTCTATGTGTTCCCTGTTTTTCCTTTTGTATTTGTTTTCTAGGAATAAGTGTGGTGACATCCAGGGCTGTCAATTATTTGAAAATTTATTTGACTCTTCCAATGAACTCTGATTCACTTATAAACTATCTTCAGTTATAACATTCGACTTTGGTAGACAAAAACTCAACTTTGACTCTTACAATACAAATATAAAATGGCAACATATGTTGGCCCGGCATTGTAAGCGTTTATAATACATTTTCATTGCACCTCTGAATACAGAATGCAGTTTTGCAAGTTCAAATCAATCCTTCAATCCATGTACCTGAAATAGGTAACTACCGTAGTTAACTATTTACATACCTGATACGATACCTGATACGATTTGGTAACCGGGCAAGAGGCCGTAGATTGCCATAAGGTTAAGCAGCCTCTTCTCTTTTCAAGATGAATATGAAAATGCTATTCTATCTTATGAGGTAGCAACTACATAGAATCTCCTATTATATTTTATTGCTGCAGGTCGCAGTAGACATCTTCAAAATGTTCCGAGAACTTTTTGTCAAGACAAGACGTAACATTAGAGATGACAATTCTGGGATCAGTCGTACTACTACTCCTGCAGTAGGAACTCGAGCCAGCACTCCAGCAAGTCGTTTGGCGACACCTAATGGTACAAAGCTGATCTGGGACTTTCCATCAAGCATGGTGTTTGCTAAAGCTGATAGATTTGCAGCGAGATTGAAGAAAGTTAAGGTGAGCATTAACATTTATCACAATCAAGAGTTCAGTGCTTTTTTGGGCCTACAAGGGCCATCTTCAATAATACTAATTTTTACTATCGCACTGATTCTTCATGGGATACTGCAAATCAATATCTAAGTATAACTAATCCTATGCATCTGAAACACCAACTAATTCCTCCTTTCTCCTATTTTGGATTTCTTTATTCCTCCCTCACTATGCATACTAAACTCTGTTGTTTCTGTTATTCATTCATTCTTTAATAGCTTCTTGGTTACTGCTACACACAACTTGCACTCTGGCTTTTGCATGTTTGAATAACTTATAATATATCCATATATACACCTCAATAATACTAAATAACTAAACAACATTTGTGAAACCTCACTAAATGCAAAATGATATTTCCATCCTAAGGACATCAAAAATCCTTTCCCTCCGGTTGGGTTGCTGACTAACACAAAGGCATTAGGGAAGGATAGGGCATTATCTTGGGTAACCCCAACTGATAGTCATGTATTGGGCCACTTTATTTTAGGACTGTGATCTTTCTTGTTAGGCAATAACTTCCCAATTTATTACACCCTCAATGACATGTCCTATATCAGGGCTACTCAACTATTTCTACCAAAGATCCGCATTCAAAACTTCAAAATTATTTGGGTCCAGTGTTTCCAGAAATTATATTTCGGCATCCGTAAACGCACATTTTCTCGACAGGCTGATGATTATCAGCTAATCAAGATTGTTTATCATGGTGTTATAGTTCTTTTCATATAGTTCATATAGTCAAAACAATTAAAGTCATTTTAAAAAATGAAACTTTAAAAGTCGGGCTAATGATTCAAAATAAAGAATTAGGTAGGTGGGGTCCTAATCAAATACTCGAAAGGTCCGGATTCGGACCACAGTGCGTCAGTTGATTAGCCCGGCCCTATACTACCTGTTTTATTTGAAATAAATTCTTTGAACTCACTAATTTTATAATTCCTTATTCAGTCTCTGTTTGACACTGCAATTGAGGTTATGAAGCTTGAAAAAATAGAATTTGGAGGGTCAAGAGGTCATGGACTGAGCCAACAACTATCTGTATTGCAACTGGAATTTGAAGATTACTGGAAAGTTTTTAAGGATGCAACATATGACAGTCTGGACCCAACTAATGAGGTTTGTGTTGGTCTACTTACACAAAAAGGTGCTCCTGTCGTATGTGTACCAAGATGGCGCACAACCTGAACATGTGTATCAGGTTAGGGTTATCAGGTTGTGCGCCATCTTGGTACACATACTACGGAGCGCCCACAAAAATATGAATTTTACCAGTCTCTGAATCATAGTAGTCAATGTAGTGGAACCATTCAAGAAAAACTCTTTTATACCATTTTCTAGGCTTCTATTAAATTAAACATTACTGCTATACTAAAACAAGTTTAGAGCAATAACAAGAAAAAAAAACTAAAGTTACTTACTAACTTTGAACTGATTGTTTTTAAATTTCCTTAAGATATTTGAACAAGATTACAACAACTTTCATCTCAGAATAGTAGAACTTGATCATCGTCTGGCAACTATCATCAACAGTGCTTTCTTGGACTGTTCTGGAATGGAAGCTATGTTTAAGGTAAATCTGGTATAGCCGTGTTTGTTGAGCCTATGTACAGTGTATTGTACTATTTTTGTAATAGCACAGTGATATTATAGTGTGCACTACTACTATTAGTGGCTGGTGCTATAGAGCCTTGTTCAAAGACTTGTGTCTTGAGATATATTGAAAATAATGTGTATCATTGTACTGTAGAAACTTTACTTTCTGAATTAATTCTTTCCGGAAACCGTTTTATAAGCAGAAATTTTCTCATATAGGAACACATTTTACCTATAAATATTACTCAACTCGATTTCTATAGTCTCTTTGTGGGGCTCCAATGATTTGTTTGTTTTCAATGAATTGTTGATAAAGGTTAAAATAAATTTTCTCAGCTTTGTCGCAAAATAGCTATGTTTGAAAGCTGAGGCAAAGGATTCATGAGAAGCTCTTTTTCTTAAAGTTGATGTTGTTGAAGTCATGATTTTCAATAAATATTAGAAATATACTATTACACTTATCTCAACAGTTGACACGCTGTGCTAAGAATTTGAAACACCTATACCTTTGCACCTTACCTTTGATTACCCTATGCAACCTCGCAAGTTTGAATTTTTGTGATTATCGCCGCTGTGCCGTACCTCTTTGTCTTGTGTATTATACTAGAGTTAGTTTTATTTGTATAGTCATTTTCATGTCTGTTGTCCTAGTATAAAGCAGCAGTCCTAAACTGCTGTCATAATTGTTAGGAGTACATGTCGCACATCTGTGTCTTGGGCCAGTAAGGTCTTGAACATGTATCTCATCTCTGTTTTACTGTACCTAATGATCTCGGGTGTCCCTGGGTCATTTTGACACCCTTCCATAATTTTTTTAATATTTCACCAACCAAAAATGCCAAAAACATCATTAATGTGTCCTTAGAAAGCTTATTTTCGTCGCTTTCCACTAAAACGTGCCCAAATTACGTAGCGCAAATGTGTACGGCCGTACGCCGGTAAGAAGAGAGAAATTTCAAAAAATTTCGAGAAAAAGTTTCTCACTTTTAACGCTGTGGTCGACACGTGATTGATATGCGAGAGAAAGAGTTCTGTTTTAGAAGAGCTTTACGTCACCTTCAAAATAAAACAAGACGTCACCGTAATTAAGAACACTCGGATCAAGCATGGATAATTTAAACTCAAACATTTTGAGTTTTGAATTTGGTTTTGTTCATATGCAGACCACTATGAAATACTATTGACCCCCCAAAATACATTTAATTTAGCCATAATCCCAAATTATGACACAGATTAGCCATTTATGAGCGGGCTGATCCTCTAGGGTTAATTATTATGCAGATACTGTTACATTTTTTGGCAAATAAACATACATACATACATGAATTGATGAATTGAAGGGAAAAAGTGGTTCACCATGTAGTTGACCCATCTTACCATCATTTTCCCTTACTTGGTATAAAAGCGAAAATCCTATTCCTATATTAGCACAATTTTTATGCCTCGCTCAAGCAACTAACTAAATGTATTTATCATTTCAGCTGTTGACAATTCTCAGTCCAGTTCTACAAAGACCTGTAATTCAACAAGAGACAGCTCATGTGTACAAAATGCTCCTCTCTACATTTGATCATGAACTGGATAAATGCAAAGTGAGTTATGAAGTTCAAATTTATAAACTTCAACATAGTAAAAAAACATCACAACACACGATGCGATGAAGATTTAACCGTAACAGCAGTCCAGGAATTTTATTGAATAAGATGTTTTGATTTGAGTAATGAACTTATTATTACCTTTTATTAACTTTTATTTGGCTCAGCGATGTGTTGCATCGTGCCAAGAATTAGGAATACGCTTGTGAACGCATCTCAGATTACCCCGCTTGGGTTCACAATTTTAAATCGTGTAGACTCCTTGCCGCCATAGCGTGGTTCACGAAACCACTGGTTGGTTAGGGCTTTCTCCACCATCAAGTCCATGCATCTGAAACAAATACCTGGCTAAACTAATCCCATACCTGACATGGACTGGTAACCGGACGAGAGTCCGTGGTTTGCCACATGATGACTAAGCCATCTTATCAACTTTCCTCTCCCTGGAGTAAATATGTAAAATTCTATGATATCATGACAGGTTGTCTACGACCAGCGCATTCGAAATGAGGAAGGAAACTTAAGTAAGAACATGCCACCAACATCAGGTGCTATCCAACGGGCAAAGCAACTCAAGCGTAGAATAATGGGCCCGAAAGAACAATTCAAGTTTGTTCATCATTCGTAAGTTACAGTTTTGAATTTTTTGTGTAAAAATATTTTATGTAAACTTGGGACTAAGTTATGAAAAATATTATACATTGTTCACATGTTTTATACATGTTTTTTTAAAATATTTTTTGCAATATTTCTAGATCGCTTTCCTCAGACGAAGCTCAGAAAGTTTTTGGAAAATATGATGAGATGATCAGCTTACTTGACAAGTAAGTTTTGCTTAGATCAGTCAGCCACTGGTCCATTAAATCTACTATTTTAGGAAGAACCGGAATTATTTAGGCTTGTAATTGTGTGCCCAATTTATACAACTCTGGCTGTGGTGGTATGCAGGGGTTTTGAACCCTGGATTTTTGACCTGCAATGCCAAAATATTCAGCTAAGACTCCAGACCCTTCTTGGACTCGATAATAACCCTGTGCTGCACTTTTAAAAATTTTGTTTTGCAATGTTTAGTCCGGCCAAAATCAGACATTATCAGAAAAGTACTTAGTTAAAATAAGGAGACTCGGACAATATTGTGCATGGGTTTTGAACCTGGGATTTTTACCATGCAATGCTAAAATAGTCAGCTATGCTATGCACCCAATAAAAGCAAAACCAACAATTGTCAACACGTAGGACAGAAATTCAGGAGAGTTGCCAAAACTTCAATTTAGATTTACACATATGATATTAATATACTATTTGACCGTATTATCTTCTGACATGGAAGATGGGTGTAAAAAATGTGATGTGATACTCTTCAGGACAGGAGTGTGCCGCATTTTATATCGGTAGGCCATATACCCAACATCAGACATCTTGCTGGGCCACACAAAAAATTTAGCAGGAAAGGCAATAGGAGAGAATGCGGATATTCGCTTAGCCTTACAGTAATAAATTCTTTGGGCAAAACAGCGCAAGAATTAACCCAAGAGACAAGAGCAAAGAAACACTATGTGTTTTTAACAATGTGCAATGTCCCGTAGTGTGTGTACCAGGTTAGGGTTAGGGCATAAGTTTATTCCAATTTTTCTTATTTTAGTTTTATTACAAGTTTGGAGACTGTCTGTGTTAGCCAAGTGAATATACCCCCTGCCCATAGGTTTCAGTCCCTTTATACAACTTGATGTAAAGTAGGCGAACAAAATTAGTTACCTCCATATTGGTACACACACTTCTCGAACGCTAATTTTCCACTACTGTTACCAAATTTCTGAACTCTCTTCCAGGTTTGAAACAAATCGTTATGACAGCTGGCAAGACGGAGTTGAAGACGCCTGTAAAATGAATCTGGATCAACCGTTAATCTCCAGAGAAGGAAGAAATGTTTCTGTGAATTTTAGTGACGAGGTCAGAATTGTTGGATTTCACTTGCATACTGTGTGTTTAAAGTCAAGTTTTTTCCAACCAGTAAAAAACAATCATAAACAATATTAAAAAAAGAGATAATCAAACAATTTTTTTTTGGAAGGAAAGCTGTGGGAACCAAAGCTGGTTATTAGGCATCGACATCCAATGTTCTAACATGTACGGTAGTTCTCTTAACATTATCAATAAAAACATGACAAACTCAAAATCCAGATTCTAGGTCATGACTAGGGCTGAGCATTTCAAATCGAATATTCGAATCGAATAGTAAATTATTCGAATCGGTTCAGAGCGAAATTTCGAATCGCCGCCATCTTGTTTTTTTCCTTCCGCCAATTGTCGAGGTAAATTTCTCAATTTTTTTTATTTAAGTCATATTCTTTCAACGCAATTTTGACATATGACTCTTTTCTGTAGTGAGTTATTGATGAAAACGTGTTTTTTATTGTATGTGACTGCTCAGCAATCTGTCTGAGTGATGTATTTTACGTTTCTAGTAATTTATGTGTCTGGAGGACCAAATACAAGAAGAAAGTTACATACAATTATATATCTCCCAAGTATTCGAGATTCGATTCGAAAAAAATATTCGATTCGATTCTGAAATCATCAGGTATTCGAAAATGCCCAGCCCCAGTCATGACTTCACAGCCTGATAGAATTCTTGCAGTCTGAGCATACAGGTCCAATAAAATGAATTCGAAAAACATTAATGAATACTTGTTTGTTTTACAAGAACATATATTTTGTTCAAAATCTTGCATTACGATTTCGAAAATTTTGTTCTGCTACATGTTTGTCTGACTACCAAATGCAAAAAAAGAAAGTTTTTTAGAACAAAAGGAATATACATACAAAGTATAACCAATTTCAGATATATTATCTTTATTTTTATAATGTTATAAACAGCTTTCGTCATTGCTTCGCGAAGTCAAATACCTGACGTACCTTGGCGCAGATGAAGTTCCACAAAGTGCTGTAGAGTTGTATGGACAGAATGATACTCTTTGGAAATATCACGCTGGTTTGGAAATTACTGCTGCTATGTACAATGAGGTAAGTTTTAATCTTTTATAATACAAATTCTACCTTAAAATATAAAAAAACGAACTTGCTAGGAGGTGAGAAAATACCCTCAGCATAGGAAGACACTGGTATTTTTTATACTTTAAACCAAGTTTTATTAAATAACGCCAAAAAATTTTAACTAATGAATTATATCTACGAGATAAGAAAAAGAAGAAAAAAAATCTGTTTGTATAAGAAATTACAGAAAAGTGCAACTAGCAATTTTTTCTAAATACTCGATTTATTAGATAGAGAGAGAGAGAGAGAGTTTATTTTCATTCTTGTCAAACCAACGAAAAACAGTATATACAATACATATAATACATACATCCATATGTATAACAAAATAAACAAATGTTTTCGGGTCCATGACTGGGAGGCAACGATACGACCTTTGGAGGTCATCAGGAGTCAGTTGGCCACCCAATTCACCATACAACATTAAAAAATAAATAACACGGTTCGGTGTCAATTCTCAATAATACCCTCTATGTTTGTTTACTATATACAATATTGACATGTTTTAATTTATCAAAAGCCGAAAACTACTGGGTATAGCGTTTTTTCAACTAACCGAAATTCGCCACATAATGACTTTTTAGACCTTTTGATATATTAATCCTATACAAAATATTGACTAACTAGTTCAAGTCGCGGTAGAAGTTTGTTTTGTGAAAAACTATGCAAATAGTTTTAGCTGTTTTAGGTGGCTCAATAACGAAGATTGACTCTGTGTCTTTCTTTCCCCAGTAAAACTGTGTGTTCATTTTGTTGTGATTTATTTGCTATTTGCCGGGTAGAAAAATGAACTTGACTGTGACTACTAAGGAAAATGAAAAATAAATTGAGAAAATGCATTTTCAGATACAAGACAATCTCCTTGATGTGGAGAGGCCACTGGTTGCAGGACAGCTAAGTGAAATTGATCGACAGTTAGAACAGGCAGAGAGTGGGAAACTTACATGGAATGGCACAGGTATTTTTGTCCTAAAATTATGAATCCGATATCAATTACATAGCTTTGATTAAATACGTAGATTCTTGTGTAACCCATGATCCAAGTCCACGCATGTGGAACAATTAATTGGCAGCCATCGTCAAATCTGACACAGGATTGCTAAATGCAGTTAGAGCTAAGATCTGAAGCCTGTGCCGGACCCGACCTGAAATTCAGTCTTCTTATTGCTTTCTATTCTCAGTGTTTAATATCATAATTTTAAAATTAAAGGTTATCTACTTCTATACACAATATGAACTGGCAATTAGATGACAGACCATGGTTTGCCATACTATTTTGCTGTCTCATTCCCCTTTCCCTGCTGTCTATTCCCCTGCGATAAATATCAAAATTCTATCTTTTCATGTCCAACCATCAATCATTCTACTTCCAGGCACATGGGAATACATTCAAGAGACTCGGGCACTTGTCCAGGATTTGGAAGAGAGAGTCCACAAAGCAAATGACAATGTGAAACAGATTGAAAAGATTATGGAGAAGGTATTGTGCTGCAGTTTATATTTATTCACTGAAAAAAATTAGTTAATCAACCACTCAGGAGGATATACTCTGTTATTGTTTAGAATAATGAGGTGAACATATGCTATTATCATTTCTATTTATGTGCTAAAACAATTGTATTGCTTCAAGCTTTATTTGAAAAATTTTCGACTGTAATCTGTGCAGATTACTAAGCATTAAGAACGAATTCTGGATACATAGACTCTTCGTTGTCAACTTCCCTCAATTTCAAAGTTGTGGGTTTATATTAATTAAATTCAATTTTTTTGTACGATGCTAATTTACACTTTTACGGCTCTAGACAGCTCACATATACTGATATCTAAAAAGTAATGCTGTTATTTTGTAAGAACTGAAATCTCAACGATTCTGCATTGCGTACCCAATTTACTACACTTTGGCTTCATGCTGGGAAATGGAATTTGAATCCAAGATGTGCAATCTGGAATACCAACATAGTTATGTCTTATGATTTAACTGCTAGGCCATTGAATTGCCTCAATTAATTTGATTATAAACTGCCAATCAAAAATGAAGTCGTGGTTGTCATATAGTTGAGCAGCTTATTAAATATCACATGGGATAAATAAGAAAAATTCTAATCTCAATTTTTCCTTTTGTAAGCACATTTTACAAGCCTTATTTCATGTGCTATTACACCTATACTCAAATCAATCCCACATATGCTCAATTTTTCTGCAACAGTAAAAAAAATCTATCAATCTTGTTGCACAAAACATCCTCTCCACACTTGAATTCATTTTGTCTTTTCAAAATGACAATGTGAAGTCAAGCTTGCTCATATCGTATTTAAATGTTCATTGGCAGAAAAGTGAAATAAAAACATTTATTTTTTCTTCTAGTGGGTTGAAACTCCATTATTTGTAAGGCGCGATGACAGGCGAGATATTCTGCTTCAACTTGATGACAGAGAAGAGAGACTTGGAAAAAGATATTTTGATTTGATGGAAGATGCCAAGATGATACAGAAACTTGTGAAGGTTGGAAGAATGAACATTTTAAACACAACAAACATTTTGAAAATTTTAGTTTACAATTTCAGATTGTTGCATTTGATTAATATAGCATTGTTGTTTACTATCTTGGCATTACAGGTTAGAGATTCTGGTACTCCCGTAGTATGTATACCAGGTTAGGGTTAGGCGATATTTTCATTCCTTCCGATTTTCCTTATTTTAGCTCTATTACGAGTTCGGGGACTGTCTGTGAATATAAACCCTGCCCTTAGGCTTTCGTCCCTTTGACAACTTGAGTATGCGACTAAATTTAGTTACCTCCACATTGCATATTGGTACACATACTTCTGGAGCGCTGAGATTCATTAGTATCAATACCAGCTTTTAACAACATTTTCATATGCATTCCACTCCAAACAAATTATCTTGATGAAGAGATACAATAGTTTGGAATCGAATTTTCCCAGTCCCACATTGCCAATTTATTATACCCGGGATGAGGTGGCAGGCATGGGATTTAAACTTGAGAGAGTTGTAGACCCGACGATGACGGATCATTCCGTGCTTCACCGCACCTGTCATTTTAATATTTATTTGTTACAAATATTTTGTTGTTGTTTTTTGTGTTTTTTGAAGTGACAAATAAAATAACTCTGACTCTGATACCAGCATAGTTACATAAAACCAGTGTATTGGCTGCAACGCTTAGCACCAACTCTGTAGAAGACACTGTTATTCAAACTGTATTCTCACTTTATTAAGGAAAACGCAACACATTTCAAATCAGACACAGATTCTGAAGACTGGAAAAAATATTTGAATTATCTTGATGCTTCTATCTTGGAAGGAATCTTATCTGCAATCAAGTTTTCACTCAAATATCTTGTGCAGAACACAGGTATGCTACATAAATTGTTATGACATCAATTTCCAGTAGGGTATAAAAATAGGGGGTACTAGGATATAGAAATTACTTCCATAAGTGACAAGGACAAGGATTCTTAGGAAAAACTGCAAAATGGTGATGGACAAAAAAGGGTACTCCCATAGTATGTGTACCAGACTAGGATTAGGCCATAATTTTATTCCAATTTTCTTTATTTTAGTTCTATTACGAGTTCGGGAACTGTCTTTGTTAGTAAAGTAAATATGCCCCCCTGCCCATAGGATTCAGTCTTTGCACAACTTGTTGTAATATATGCGAACAAAATAACTTACCTCCATAGTGGTACACATACTTCAGGAGCACCCAAACAAGCACTATGTCCTCTCAACATTTGTGCTTCATGCAACTAATGGTATTAAATAAAGTAAACTTGAATAAAATTAACCAAATTCCTCATTCATTGAAACATTAGGTACCCAGTCCAGGTCTGGTAGTAATATAGTTAATTTGCTTTTCATTTTAGTTTCATGTACTTGCCATAACATCCTTGCGAGATTTCAAATTTTAATTACTTTTAATCCACGTACTTAAGTATCAATTTCATCTAGATCAAAAGATCAATCCTCCACCTCTCTTTGAAGTCAAGTTGATTCTATCTATTCCTGACGTGATGTTTGAACCGTCATTGGAATTTGAGACAAAAACCGGATTCTATGAACTGATTGACAATATCATAAATGACATCTTCAGAGTAAGATTTGCTGATATTCGAGCCTTGCTATTTGATAGTCAAGATTACAAAGCCTTTAACTGTTAGTGTTGCAGATTAGAGATCTTGGCACAAATCTCAAACTAGGGCATGATAAATAGTGTAGGCTAGTGGTTCCCAAACCTTTTGTTTGTGATAAAAATATGTGATAAAAATGACATTGTTAACAAATATGTGATAAAAATTAGCGAAAAGTTGATCAGTCGAAAATAATAGTCATTTATGAGGTTTTGTGTAATTCTATTTTATTGCTTCTGGTAAAGTCTTCAAGTATTGACTTTTAAGCCAGATTTTCCTGGAATTAACAAACATGAAAAAAGCAGCAATTTGGGTAAAAATAGAAGATTCATATATATTTTATTCACTTAAATTATTTTTTATTTTGTGCAGATTTGAAAAAAGAATATTTACAAAAATTTCCAATTTTTCCAGCTTTATGTTCCTGACATCAAATATGGTTAAAATTAAAAAAATCCTTTTTTAAAACTCAAGGTGTCCTCCTTGATATCAAGAGTTGCACCTCACTATGGTGTGGAAGACTACTTTAATGATATGGGCCAAGCAGTTGAGCTTCTGAACCTGAGAACAGAGATCATTGACCGAGTCCAAGTTGTCATTGAAACTTCAAACGAATACAGAAACAATTTGGAAAAGTAAGATAGAATAGGATTTTTATATTTATCCCAGGAAAAGGAAACCGCAGCCAATTGCTCTGTAAACAGTATAAGTAACTTTACAGCTTATGTCAGCTATTTAGAATTCAAGTATGTCAAATACGGCTTCCTCCGCCACCAAGTCCATGCATTGAAACCAAACAACTGGCATGGGGACAGTTAACCGGACGATTGGCCGTGGTTCGCTATATAATTAAGCTGCATTATTGGCTTTCAGCTTCCACAGGATAATTGTGTAAATCCTATCTTGTTCAATTATCGGCGCTTATGTGTACCAATATGGAGATGGCTAATGTTGTTTGCCTACTTTACATCAAGTAGTGTAAAGGAACTGAAACCTATGGGCAGGGGTATATTCACTCGGCTAACACAGACAGTCCCCGAACTCGTAATAGAACTATAACAAGGAAAATCGGAATAAATTTATGGCCTAACTCTAACCTGGTACACACACACTAGGGGAATACCCAGTTATATCCTATGTGTTGCATAAATGTAAAAACTTTTTAGTGTTAAACTATTACACCAGAGTTCAGTGGACCATATTAAATTGCCCTGCAGACTGCGCTTTGGGAACCACTGCCTTAAATAAGGGTTTCACTACACTGACATGTTGCTTCATTTTATTTTTTTAGATACGCTTACTTATGGGTTGACGATCGGCAAGAATTCATGCGCCAATTTCTCTTATACAACCATGTTCTGACAGCTGAAGAAATAGAACAACATGCCGATACTGGAGTTCCAGAATCCCCTCCAACACTGGAGCAGTTTAAACAACAAATTGATTCCTACGAGCAGTTACATGAAGAAGTAACTAGGATGCCAGATCATAAAGTGAGTGAAATTAAACACATATTGCCACCGTATAACCATTGGTGTATTCAGCTTACAGACAAAATGCTCAAATCCTCGCAGGAGAAAAAAAATGGTAAGATAGACATATCAATTCAAAACTATGGCCGGTTATATTTTTTACCATATAGATAAAAGACTAATCTATAATAATGTTCTGGGGGGAGGTTGCTGGAAAAAAAGAGCCTTTTGCTTCTTGGTAAGGCTCAAAAACCTGGTTTTAAAAGTTTTAATGAAGTTTAACAATTTTGTTATTGTAAGAAGTTAAGTTATCTAAAGCTTCTCTCTTTTTTCTAATTTTATTAATGCCCTATGGTTGTGTGTGTGTGTGCGTGTATGATTTGATTCAGTAGTGTTAGTTGAGTGAACACGTACCACTTCCTTTTGGCAGTACCTTCCATCTTATATTTTGTACGTTTTACACCTTATCCAAGGTTTTGTTTACTCTCCTGATTCCATAATCAGTTTTTATTTATTTTTTTTTATCAACCGTTTTATCGCCTTTCTGCTGATTATGGAGTCGAAATAAACTTATCCATCTTATCTATACGAAGTATGTGACGCTTTTCTTAACCGACCATTGTTCACAAAAGATTATATTTGATGGTACACCTACCAAATTGATGGTAAACAAGTTAGCTGGATATATTACAAAAGTATCAATGTATTTCTCAGCCTTTGAAGTCATTTTTTAGAACTTATACTTAAGCATGGCAAATTTAATTTCTTAAATTTATTTCATTAAAACAAATCTTTGAAAAAAGTCAAGTCAAGTTTAATTACCTTTGTCTCTTTCACAAATGGCAGATGTACAATATTACAACAAAATGCTGAAAGATCTTTTTATGATATTAATGTATTCCATAGATCTTCTCTTCCTGGTTTCGTGTTGATGTCAGACCATTCAAGCAATCCCTGTTAAATATTATCAAAAGATGGAGCCTGATGCTGAAGGAATATCTGATCTCACATGTTGTTGACAGGTACTGTTGCCAGATTTATTAATTAGATGATTTAATTTTATTTTTATATTTCAGCCACATATTTGCTTTATTCCAGCCATTGTTTGTGAATATTAAATACTGATAAAACTACCACCTTTTTTTGTGTCATTTTTGTAACACAATCATAATTACAATAGTGTAAAACAAATTTTGCAACTAACTTTATCTATGATTGTTCAAAAAGAAGAAGAGAATGTGTTATATTTTAAATCGAATTTGCTGAGAGCAAGGGCACACATGCACATTCAGAAGTATAGAGATTAATCTCTGAACATCTTTTGAATGAGTTTTAGTGACCTTGAGCAGATTTTTTCATAATCAATGAAATTTAAAGTCAATAAATTGGCTTAATGATACAGGGAGTCCTCGGGTTACGGCGGTCGCAACTTACGATGTTTCGAGGTTACAAACGCTCACTCCATAACGCTGTTTCGAGGTTGTGAACGCACTTTACGAACATATAGAGATATAAAAGATAAATCTGTACTGTAAAATAAGCCTCTAAACTGGATCATTGTGATCAAGAAAATCAGTGTTCTGGGCTCATTGGTTTTTGTTATTTACATCGTAAATGACGTGACCAATTGCGAACTATTGTGATTATGAATGTAATCACTAAGCTTCAGTCACATGGCAGTGATACAGTACTGCACACAGTTTCAGTGATACTGTATGTCATTTTGGTTGTTTAAGCCAGTTTTTTCGTAACTTGTTTGATCGTTTTTTTTATTTTGCTCCTTTGTTATGGACTCAAAGCAAAAAAAAGATGTTACTGATGTTAGTGCATCAATGTTTGCTTTTATTCATGTGATGTGGAATTGTTTTCTGTTTTTCTAATAAAGTTCTTATTTGCATTATTTGTACATTTTATTAGTGTACAGTACCATACTTTACAATACAGTACGATGTGTATAGAGTAATTCATGCACTGTACCACTGTACAGTATAATGTTCCGACTTACACTCAAATTCGGGTTACACTGAGTCTCAGGAACGGTATTGGCATCCATGGCCCCTGATTCAGTTACCAATCCAGATGCATGGCCTTGATTGTGGGAGAATTCGTAAATGAACAGTGGGTATGTGAACCACCTTATGACACCAACGAGTTCAGCAACCCTCTAAGCTTGAATTATCCCCCGCAGGATTCAACCCTGCTAACCCTAAGTCTGGGTAGTCCTAAGCCTTCTCAAGTTTAGTGATGAACTGCGCATCTCCCATTTTAAATAATTACCTGACTAAAATTTCTGTATTTTTGATAACCATATATATAGGCAAAGTTACTTGGAGCAATATTTATGAATTGGTTTCACATTTTTTTTTAATTCATCGTTTCTAGCCTTCAAGATTTGGAAGACTTTGTTCATCGCGCAGATGCTGGACTGAGAGAAAACATAGAAGAAGGAGATTATGATGCCTTGGTTAGAGTTATGGGAAATCTGCTTGCAGTCAAGGAAAGGCAGGCTGTAAGTTGCATATACAATGCTTCAAGAACAAGCATAATAACCTAGTCCTGTCATTCAGGGCTAGTAAATCCTGGCCCTGAGCCTGGACAGTCAGTTCCATGTTCAGCACAAACCTGACACCTTTCTTTAAATAAATAAGAGTTCTAACTCCGTACTACCCGGGATTTAAAATTTCGGCTTTTGTTTTAAACATCGTAAATTTAAAAAAAAACTTATGGCTACAACACCAATACCAGAAAAAGCATCCCAAACTTTGACTTTGACAAACACTTACTGGAAATGCATTGTACATCAGTATTTACTTTTTTCACTCCAAACTAAAACGAGAACATGTATAAGTTGTGAGTTTATAGTGTCATGTACACATTAACTATTGCTAAAGTTTGCTTTACATTTAGTCCACTGACAACATGTTCGAACCATTGAAAGAAACTGTTGAACTATTGTCTTCATATGAAGTTGAAATACCAGAGAATGCTCATCATCAAATAGAACAACTTCCAGAACAGTGGGAATCAACTAAGAAAAGGGTATGTAATGGGTTTATAATGAAATAATAATTGGAAAGGGTGAATTGTATTTAATGCTATGTTCTAAGCAAAGATGGCTATAAATATTCAGGCAAATGGTTGCAGTATGCTTTTATTGTGAAATTAGGGGTTTGCTCCTCAGGTTTTCTGCCAAAGATGCCATTCTGATCTTATTACTACCACATCATATTACTAGAGAAAATAACAGGTTTCAGGTTTCTTTTCTGAAATTCTTCTTTGGTACATAAAGGCATTAAAATTTCATGAAATTTTCAACAGGCTGTGGGAGTGCGACATGACGTTTCTCCACTTCAAACTGCAGAAGTTGCTGAAATCAGAAAACGATGCACAAAGTTCGATATCAGCCAACATGAGTTCAGAGAAATGTTCAGAAAGTAAGCCAACAACACTTGATATTTGACTACCAGTTGGGGTTGTGTGAGACAAGACATACCTTTTCCTTCTTCTATGTCTTTGCACAAGGGGATCCGTATGCGCATAATGCAAGGATGCTGTGACAAAAATAATGATGTCTATTAGAATCAAGAATCTCATTGTGCACTGGCACAAATGTATATTTTCTGTAACTTTTTCTAGTATTTCCCATCAGGTAATCTGTAGTTTATTTCTTATTGATAATACATACAATACAAAATGTATAAACTTAATCAAGGATATAACTAATTTTAAAAAATTTTTGTGATTAAGGACAATGTTATGTTTTTATCCTTTATTCTTATCACTCTAAATTTAATGCTTTTCTGAACAAGGCTCTGCGCAAAAAAACACTGATATAAGGAGCTACTTTATTTGGCATTGCCTCTCCAGTTTATTACAACCTAGGTGAGATGGTGAATATAGTATTTGTACCCGAAATTTCACTATGCAATGCCATCACAGTTGAGCTTAATGCTTCAATCACTAGGCCATCGTACCATATGAACATAGTGTTAACGGCAGCGTGGCGCATCATGCTATGCTCGACACCAGACCTCTGATTACTCTGCATGGGTTTGCAGGTTCGAATCCCATGCAGGGATGGTTATGTGCGAGAGGATTGCTGGACTCCTCGCCGTCGTTGGGTGGTTCACATAACCGCTGGTCTGTACGGCTTCCTCCACCATCAAGTCCATGCTTCTGAAAACAAATAACTAAAACTAATCCCATACACGACATGGACTGGTAACCGGACGAGAGGTTGTGGTTTGCCATATGATCAAGCTGTCCTATCGGCTTTCTCCCCCCCTGGGATTAATATGTAAATCCTATCCTAAACACAGTATGCTTCATTACAGGACGGCACCATTCTGGTACAATTCTGAGCTTCCGTACAAAAAGATTGATATTGTGGAGAGACTGACAACAGAGAAAGAAAAAGAGATGGCTGCTTTACTTGAATCTGCAGGATTGTTTGAAGTGAATGTTCCAGACTTTAAACAACTGAAAGCATGCAGAAAAGAATTGAAAATATTGAAGGTATTGCTCTTTGATATGAAATAATACAATTGGTACATTTTTGAACAGGAGACTCTAGTATTTACCTAAATATAATACGGGGAATATATGCAATGATATAACTAGTTAATTATGTATACTATAATAATTTTTTACATACCGGTATACAAGTTGCTGGTGCTTGGGCTAAGCAATATTACTCTAAACAGGTTCATAGGTTCAAAATCAATGACGAATACCGTAAATTACCGAAATTATTGTTGTTGCAGGGTGGTTCATATAAACACTGGTTAGTTACAGTTTTCTCCACCTTCCAAATTTTATCTTATTTCCTGTCCTTGATATGAATATAAAAAACCCTATTCTATATCTGTGCATCGCTTTATCAAGTCTATGCATTTGATGAAATAACTGATTAACTTTCCCCATAAACAAACATTGACTGGTAACCGGACGAGAGGCCGTGGTTTGCTGTATGATTAAGCCTTGATAATAACTTTCCTCTCTCCTGGGATAAATATCGAAATCTCATCGTTTTTTCTCATCAACTTATTGCAATTTTAGCATCTCTGGGATATGATCTACCTTGTGAGATCAAGCATTGATGCCTGGACTTTGACAAGCTGGAGAGAAATTGTTGTTGAAGAAATTGATTTCCAACTCAGAAGATTTTTGAAAGATGTTAGACTGATTGATAAAGGTACTTTGCAAGAGTACCGTAACTATTAGTTGGGGTTATGCAGGACTAAATATATATCTTGCCTTTTGTACGTTAGATTGTTCAGATTTTCTTAGTTTTTAATTTAGTTTCTAATCACTGTATTTTGTATGTAGTTACATCTCTACACAGCATTTCTAGCCAGTTGCTCAGAGAATCTTTTTATCTATTATTTTATCATTCGCTACACTGACTATGAACTTAAAATAAACTTATATTCATACTGCCTTTCATGCACAGCCCCCTTAATTCTTTTAAATTTACAACTAATTTCAGAATGTAGATCCTGGGATGCTTTCACTGGTCTCGATTCGATGGTTAAAAATATGCTGACATCACTTCGTGCAATTGTTGAGTTGCGCAATCCTGCGATCCGTGATCGTCATTGGCAACAATTGATGACAACCACTGGGGTACGATTTAACATGGACGACAACACAACTCTCGCTGATTTGTTGGCCTTGCAACTTCATAAAGTTGAAGATGAGGTTAGTGTATTCAAGTGAAGATAAAATTATCATATTTATCAGTAGAAATGAAAGTTGATAAGTGGACCTATTTATATGGACTTACTTGGTTAACAAAGAATAATTAGGTTTTAAATTCATATATTGATTTACCAATGCACAATATAAACTAATTTCAAATTACAGTTTGATTTAGAAAGAATTGCAATCCTGCCTAGATAATAAACTGATTACAATTTGAACAATTGTTTTAGAAAAAAAAAATATACCATGAATTCTAGTGTAGATAGAGATTGAAAGATGCCAAATTTTAGCTCATTTAGGTGCATTATATTTCCAGTTCAATAAATACATCAGTAGTAATTATTTAGAATTTAAAACTTTGTACAGGTAAAAAATATTGTGGATAAAGCAGTCAAAGAAATGGGAATTGAGAAAGTTCTTGATGAAATGCAACAGACTTGGGGAGGGGTTCAAGTCAAGTTTGAAACTCATCATACTGGGACGCCATTACTTGCTACGGATGAAGAATTGATCGAAACATTAGAAGATAACCAGGTCTGTTTTTATGATACAATGAAATTTCAAATTTGCCTATTTATTAGCTCGTTAGGATAGACTTACATATTTATTCCGGAAACAGGAAAGCCGATTAGACGTTTCAATCATATGGCGAATCATGGCTTCTCGCCCAGTTACCAGTATGTGTCAGGTATGGGATTATTTCTCCAGTTATTTGTTTTCAGAAGCAATGATTTGATGGTGGAGGAAGTCGTAATCGACCTTAATAAGAAAGCCTGTCTGTAATTTGTGTGTTTGATTGCCTTTTGGCTAGTTTATTAGTTTTAAAAGTATTGGCTCAAACACCATGCCCATCATCTCAACCTGGGTTGTAATAAATTGGGTATGCCACCAGCCACATTGAAAACATTCCAAGATATTTCGAAGAAAATAGAAAACAGCATGTCAGTATATTTTTGCCTGGAGCCTTATTTGAAGTGAATATCTGACTATATAATCAGAAAATTCCTTGTTGTTCTTAGATGATCTCCAATCGTTTACCGCAATACAGTTCAAGGTACTCATTTCGAACTTCCTGCCCTGAGACGAAAATTAAAATCTCTTTTTGTATCCTATGCAGGTTCAACTTCAAAATGTCTTGATATCGAAATTTGTTGAATATTTTCGTGATGAGGTTTCAGCCTGGCAGCATAAATTATCTGTAACTGACACTGTGATACAAGTATGGCTTGAAGTACAGAGAACATGGGTTCATCTGGAGACAATTTTTATTGGTGCAGAGGTGAGTTTTGAAAATTACATATTAGGAAATTAGATATTGGAATGAAACATGCTACATCATCAGAACTGTGCGCCATGACACACCAGTGCAGCACGAGATGATAATGAGTGCATTGTTAATATATTTCCTAAGAAATTACTTCTTATTTGAACACATTTAGAATTGACATAAAATTTGATAAATTCAGTCTTTAGAGAGAAGAACAATTGGCTTTTCGGCAATTCAGCCATGGTATAATCATTTATTGCAAAAATTAGCTTAACTTTTACACTGATTAAATATACATATAAGCTTTTCTATTGTTGTAATTCAATGGTAACAAAGTCAAATTTTGTGTTGTTATTTCAAACATTTGGGGACCTCTGTACCATTTGATAAATGTACTTTTGGGATTTTATAATTGATTCTCCTCTACTCAGTGCGATTCATACTGTTGTTTCATAGACCTTCCATTTGTTCCATGTGTTTCTAAGTTGGTCGTGCATTTCGTTTTCTGCTGGATCATTTTTGTTATGGCTTTATATACTATTCTAAAGTTCACTCTTTTCTAATATTGCTATGGCTCAAACTGTAAAATAGGCCAGTCCGCATATATAAAAATAAGATTTGCTATAAATAGTTTTTATTTAAATCGTCTGCATTCAAATAATATAGTTAGTAAAACAAGAACCTTCATCGATTTACTTTTGTCTAAGATTATCCTATTTCGGATGATTAAAAAAATATTCAATAATTCGTTTAGGACATTCGTTCACAATTACCAGAAGATACTGAAAGATTTGTAGAAATTGATCGAGATTTGAAAGAATTATTGGTTGAATCGGAGAAAATACCAAACATCATTGAATCAGCAATGAGAGAGGGTTTGCAAGCAAAACTGGAAGACCTGCTGAAAAGGTTTGTTAGTAGGACAAATAAAATTGGAAATTTAGACTTTGTAAGAGCTAATTATGTGGCCAAATTTGGAACATTAAACCTAAAAGGTATGTCTCAAGAATATTATGTCTCCCTTGACTCACTGCATATTGTAGTATTATTTTATTATTATAAATCCTTCCTGTACCCTCTAGTGTAACTTGAAGTGGATTCAACGCCATCTGGAACACAATAGGGGGAGCTGACTCTGATTACCGTATGGCTGTATCTCTCCCTCAGTCTATACCAAATAACTTTGTTCATGTTGTATATTTGACGCTCCGGAAATATTCGTACCAAGATGATGCACAACCTGGACAACCCTGACTTGGTACACATACTATGTTCAGGTTGTGCGCCATCTTGGTACGAACACTTCGGGAGCAATGCTCATTTTTCTACTTGAAGAAATGATAAATCTCTCTCTCTCCCTCAATAAAGTATTTGGGTTCGTTTAGTTAATAACAAAAACAAATTCTTTCCTTTGGCTATTGTTCTTATGCCTTACTGGATTAGTTTTATGTTAACAATGTCATCATGGTTCACAGATGGTTTTGGAAATTTTCACATGATAAGAAACTTTTACAATTTCTTACTTCTATCATGTATATGTATCTTGAATGTTAGTTAGCCTTGTTTCATTTTTTTTCCTTGGCAGATTGTCTGTGTGCGAAAAGTCTCTGGCTGAATACCTGGAAAGAAAACGATTGCTTTTCCCACGCTTTTACTTCATGTCGGCTGCAGACTTGTTGGATATATTATCAAAAGGAGCTCAACCTCCAGAGGTTAGATGCTGCTTTTACTTAATACTATATACATTCTATATTTTAATAAGAAATTGGATAAAGGTTGTTTATTGCAGGCATAATTTACATTAAAATTTACCCATATAGCAATAAACACCCTCACCTCAATAAACAAATGAACTTAATAAATTGGTTTAGCAATACTAAATCAGATAGGTTAGGCTCCTTTCATATTAGTTGCCACTCGCACAGAACTTTGGAATACAACAATGTTGCATTCAAATTTGGGAAAAAAGCGAGATGAAATTATGATTTCTGCATTGTATATGCATTGCAAATGTGCTATCCACCGCGGCCTGGATATTCTTATTTCTTCTTATTGTGTAAATTTACAGATTTGAATCCCATGGGATTTAAGTCAAGTGCCAGGAGATTATTAGACTCCTTGCCATCACATGTTCCATGCTACTACTGATTAGTTATGTCTTCATCTACCTTGGCAAGCCTATTCTTCTGAAATGATAAACTGAATCAATCTTTAAACATCCCCAAACTCAACTGGCAACAGGTCGATGGGACTATGGTTTTTGTAGGCGAAACTGTCATATTGTCTTTTCTTTTTTAATATATATATAAAACTCTTGCCTATCTATTTCAATGTTCATTCTACACCACAGGTTACGCATCATCTTCGTAAGTTATTTGACAACATCAATGGCCTTAAATTTGAAGTTTCCTCTGACGGAGTAGAAAGTGCGAATGTTGTCGTTGGAATGTACAGCAAAGAAGGAGAATATGCAGAGTTTGCCAAATCTTCGAAACTTCTTGGACAGGTAAAGCAGAATTAAAAATAAACTCACTTTTTGTCACTTATACAAAACCTAAGATTTAGTTATTTAGATCCCTGGTGCTTTTTTATGAAGAGTTTTTCCAGTTCCCTTCCAGTTCAAACATGGACTGACTTATAGAAAGCTGCTATTCATTGTGGGATTGGAAGCATTCTAGTCCCAGTTCTATTTAATTGAATATAATCTAACAGTGTTTGTAATTAATTCCACAAGCTTTATGACTAAATTATTAACCTGGTCATGAAAACCCAAGTGACTGGTTATTGCAAATATATTAGCAAAACAGTTAACAAACACCTTAGTTTTGGAAGCTTTTTGCTCGTTTTGACGTGTTTATGGTCTTTTTCCACTATTTTTGACATGTTGTTTTCACCAATAACCCACTAAAACTTGTAAAAACCAGCAAAACTTATGCTAAAATGTTAGATACCTGTCCAAAACCACTATAAAACTGGCTTGTTAATTGTTCATGTTGACTTAAGAGACTATGATGCTTCTATTCTTGGTATCTCTGTACATCCTAGTATTTGCTTAGCCATGAGCCTTGTCTCAGATTGAATTTGTTCAACCAAAATACACAACCATGTTCTAGTTACCAGTACATGTCAAGTATATAAATAGCTTTTTAACATCTTCGATCAATATGGGCTTGGATGCTCGATTCTGTCTATAAAATCATATGTGAAAACAGTATTTCTAATAGAAAACATTAAATTATTTAAATTTACTTATCAAAGTTATAAAATTATTTGTAATATTTCAGGTTGAGACCTGGTTGAACACTCTTCTTAAGACAATGCAATCAACTGTAAGAAAAACACTTCAAGAAGCAGTTGTGTCTTATGAAGAAAAACCTCGAGATCAGTGGTTGTTTGACTTTCCTGCTCAGATTGCTTTGACTGGCTCCCAGATATGGTGGACAACAGAGGTTTGTATGAACTGATAGCTAGTCATTAGAGACATATGTTTATAAAAAATATATACTAAAACTATGTGTGGACTAGGAAATACCTATTATAAAATAAATAATTTGGATAATTTGCAATGACAATGACAATTGCAATGACAAACTAAATAAAATATGGAATTTTGGGTGTGCTTCGGGCACGGGCCTGCAAATCCAGTTAATTAGTCAAGCCCGGGCTGGGTCGGGTTTAATACCCACGGGGCTGGGTCGGGCCGAGCTGGTAGATGATAAAGTGCGAAGGGATTGTTCCACTTCTTGCTGTCGTTAGGTGGTTTGGGCTGCTTAGTTGTTAGAATGTTAACCCCTGCTTGTTTTTTTTACCATGCATACATATGAGATGAATGAATGACTAGCCAATTGTTCGCATACCCAATATACACTGTTAATTGCATGAAAAGTAGTGGTTTTTCACATGATTAAGCCATCTTACCAGCTTTCCTCTGAATAAAAAGTATGAATGAGTGTATAGTAATTGACATTAATTCACCGGTGTTATCATCAGATTCACATATCTGTCTTTGGCTGTAATAGTTGGTTATTGGATTGAATTTTTATCCTGCAAGGTATGATGAGACTAATGTGCTAGCAATTGAAGTTTTAGTACCTGTAAACCTAAAAAGATATTGATTATTCAAATGTCAAAAAAACTTTGTTCAATCATTCCTAGGTTGGAATTGCGTTTGAAAAACTTGAAGAAGGATTTGAGAATGCAATGAAAGATTACAACAAGAAACAAGTCACTCAACTCAATGCTTTGATCAATCATTTACTTGGACAACTTTCTCCTTTAGACAGGTATTTTGGTTTGGTTCAATATTGAAGTAATATACCTAACTTTGTTTAAACCGCAGGTTAAAAATTTCAAACTCCCTGCTCACCACCTCACCTAGGGTGTAATAAATTGGGTAGGCAATGCAGCTGCTTGTCTCATAACAGCAGCATAAATAACGGTTCATTTTTTAATACAATACAACCATATTCACAGAATTTAAAACATAAATTCAATCACTTATCAGTTGAGGTTACTCGAGACTAACTACCTTTCCTTGCTCTATGCCTTTGTAAAAGTTTTTCAACACGAGAAGTTAAAAATACTTGTTTGAAGGAGTCTGATCCCAGTTAGACAAAATGCTACAGAAATACATTTGTATTAGTGTGCAGCAAGACGGTTGAGTCAAATAGTTTATTTATTTATGTATTTAAATTTACTTTCATTCTTCTGTTTAGGCAAAAGATCATGACTATGTGTACCATCGATGTCCACAATCGTGATGTCGTTTCAAGGTTAATAACAGAAAAGGTTTCCTCATCGGAAGCATTTACTTGGCTTTCTCAACTTCGACACAGATGGGATGATTCTGATGATCATTGCTATGCAAATATATGTAATGCTCAGTTCCAGTATCAGTATGAATACCTGGGGAACACTCCTAGACTTGTAATCACTCCTTTGACTGACAGGTATTGCTTTAATTTTGAGCTAGTAATTGATAAGATGGCTTTGTAATGATTTCATCAAACACCAACGTGAAATTTTCTCAAACATACATAACTCAACTATAAAAATCATTTTTTGTTACTGAAATATATAAAAGTTATAGCGCAACAAGATTTTTGAGTGACCCAGTCAATCATGGCATATTCGGCAACATCAATTTACTTTTTATTCATTTCAAAGAGATAAATTTACATCTTATTTATTTGAAATTACTTTTTTTAATAAATTATACATGCAATTTCAGATGCTACATAACATTGACACAATCTCTTCATCTGACAATGAGTGGAGCTCCTGCAGGACCAGCTGGAACTGGGAAAACAGAGACAACAAAAGATCTTGGCAGAGCACTGGGTGTTCAGGTATAAATTCACTTAACAAATTCATTCAAAGCATAACTTATGACAGGCAACAGGGATATGGAAAGTCAAGTTTGTTCCTCAATTTGCTACAATCTAGTGCAGGGGTGCAACCTTTATTACATGAGGGCCAGATGCAAATACCTGGGTTTATCATAGGCACGAAAACTTATGACACGTGTTGTTCGCTTTGCACAAGCTAGCTGTTGCAACGTTAAGGCATTGTAACATAATAAATATTAAATCGAACTCGGGTATGAGCTTTGCAACACAATAGGATTGGAATTACTTGTGCGTACCAGATTAAACTGAATTAAAAACTCGTTTCGCTGGTCACACACCATTCAAAACTCTAGAGGATTGCATTTTATGCCCAATTGTTCAAATTTCTATGATGAATTTGTGTTAAAAATAGTTACATGGCTATCCACCTTCAATACTTTTGGAAGAGCGAGAATCAGGTGTGTCCAAAATGAATTGAATATTCGGATATATTCCCTATTATAAATTCTTAGTATTGGGTTAATCCCGAATATCTCTTGTTTAAGAATTTGTCATTTATATGATTTGATATCGACAGTCACTAAATTTTAACTTCAATCTTTAACAATCTCTGTTTCTATGAATATCAATGGTTTCAGCAAGGTTTACAAGTATATCTCCTGAGTTTATAAGTAAATAAAGATTTATTAAGAAAAAAATAGTTCTGGTTACCGAAAAAAAACATTCTATTATTTTTCCAGGTGTATGTCTTCAACTGTTCTGAGCAAATGGACTATCGATCAATCGGTAATATTTACAAAGGACTTTCGCAAACTGGATCGTGGGGATGTTTCGATGAATTCAACAGAATTGCAATTGAAGTTTTATCTGTCGTTGCTGTTCAGGTTGTAAAACATTTTAAGATTTTTATTTAACCGACCAGCATTACGTGAACCATCCGCACTAGCACATAATTATATTCCCAACTGGATTCGAAACTGCCGATCTACAAAGGCTAACTGGAGGTGGAAGCTAGGCATACTCCCAAAATCATCTAGAGCTGGGCAATGACCCGGGGGCCAAATCCGGCTCGTTGGGTAATTCAATCTGGCCCGCCTGATGATGCTACAACCAAACTAAAACCAAATTTTGATGTTTTATCTAAAAGATAGCTAAATAAATTTGTTGAGATTGCAATTAAATTTAATTTTGGCACGAGACTTATTTTTGTCAAATTTTGCTTTTGTAAAACTGTAAATATTGTTCATAAATGTAACTTTGCGCGTCACCCTCACATGGCCCGCCAGTTTAGGTGGGCAAGATTTCTGGCCCCTGGTACAAAAACCTTGGGCATCCCTGATCTAGGGCAATATGCTATCCAACATGATTCAAGAGTCTTGCAGTGAAATACCCAGCAGTGAGAGTGATGGACTGTTTTTCGAAAAGAATAGCTAACTAATCCCATACCCGACATGAAACGGTAACCAGACGAGGGGCCATGGTGGCCATATAATTAAGCTGACTAATTGTTTTCCTCTTTCCTGGGATAAATATGTATATCCTATCCTGGTTAGATATCAATGTTTCTTTCTATCGGACCTTTGATCATAAAGCGTCGTATAAAAAACAAAAATAATCAGTTCAACAGGACTTTTGAAATAAATTTACTGTGTATTTTCAGGTAAAAATGATCCAAGATTCTCTGAAAGCCAAGAAAACTCATTTCTTGTTCCTTGGTGATGAAATCAAACTTTGTCCGAGTGTTGGGATCTTCATCACAATGAATCCTGGATACGCAGGAAGAACTGAGTTGCCAGAAAATTTGAAGGCTTTATTCAGGTATTGCAGTTTAAAATGGTGGCAGTTCGTTCTTGAACGGATTTTCGCCAAACTATAAAGATATCCAAAACTTAAATTTCTTAAAATGTTTTATGCATATAGGCTGATTATTTAGTCAGTAATGCCATAAGGAATGCAACTAACAGAGAAATGTAGCTTAGCACCTTGTTTGCAAAATCAATGACAAGTATGATCATACGGCTTGATGGAATAAAAATAATGTTTCTAAAAATTTGACATAAAACAACGAAATGTTGGGTGAAATATTGGATCTGATAGACTCAAAAAAAATTTGAAATATAAATAAAAGTGATGGCCTTCTGGAATCTATCTCCATATTCAAGTGAAAAATCAAAATTTGTTGGTTCATTAGTCATGTAGAATAGCGATTTTATTCACCAATAAAGTTGCCCTGCCAATAACAAGAATAGCAAGAATAACAATAACAATTTTACCAAACGATTCACATGGCCTCTTTGTGTCTAATAGCTTCCCAGAAGGCACATAGGGAAAATTTAGTTTAACAAATATCGATTCACTTTAATGCCTTTTAATTAATTGATAAAATACCATATTTGCAGACCCTGGGCCAAAACCATTTAGGCAGGTAAACTCAACAAAGCGTCATTCGGGCAAATATCAATAAAAAAATAGTCGAACATTTCTCTGAAGATTCATGGGGAAGTTTGGTTTAACAAATATCGATATAATTAAATTAATTGATAAAACATCATATTTGCAGACCCTGTGCCATGGTTGTGCCTGACATTGCACAAATCTGTGAAATCAATCTTGTTGCTGAAGGTTTCACTGAAGCTAAAATCTTGGCAAGAAAATTCATCACACTGTATGATCTTTGCAAAGAACTTTGCTCGAAACAAGTAAGTTTATTCAACTTTTGATGCTCCAGAAGTGTGTGTACCTACGTGGAGGTAACTATTTTCACTGCCTACTTTATATCAAGTTGTGTAAAGGGACTGAAACCTATATTCCCTTGGCTAACAAGTAACACAGACAGTCCTCGAACTTGCAATAGAACTAAAATAAGGAAAATCGGAATAAAATTATGGCCCAACCCTAACCTGGTATATACACTACAGGAGTACCCAACTTTTATTTGTGTTGAATGCAGAGTAATGTTTTTCAAAAATTTAATTTTATATAATTTTATTTTTGATATTACATTCAAACAATGCAATTATTTAAGAGAGAGAGAGAGATTTATTTATTTTTCGTGAACCAGAAAAAACAAGCTTTGCTACAATAATATGAATATACAACAACCTTAACAAAGTTTTTTCGATGTAGACTGGGGAGAGCGAAACGACTATATTTGTTGGTAAAATGTAATTGCCCATTTGTCGAACGCCTAATTTAAGAACATAGGAATGTTAACTCAGTATAAAAGTATATTTAATAAATGTCCAGAACAATAACTAAAGTAACCCAAAGCAAAAAAGCTGTGCAGCATTTAAAAAAAGATGTGCAGACCAGCGGCTGGAAACCACTGTATCAAACTATATAAATCTTACCTTCCTTAATTTAGAACCATTATGATTGGGGTCTCAGAGCAGTGAAGAGTGTGTTGGTTGTTGCTGGATCATTACGAAGAGCAGATAAACAACGACCGGAAGATCAGGTCCTGATGAGAGCTTTGAGAGATTTCAATCTTCCAAAGATTGTCACTGAAGATGTTCCCATCTTCATGGGATTAATTGGTAATCATTTATTTTTTTCAATTGAAGTCAAAAGATTTCATGAAACATTTTTATACAACAATCCCATGCCTATATTCCACAAGGCTTTGTACAATCAGTGATTGACACATACAGAGCCACTGTTTTTGATTTAAAACCAATATTTAAAATTTATTCATTCGGCTTTTGACTCCCAAATTTATTACATACTAGTGGTGTTGGGCATGAATTTTTAACCCAGGATGTGTGTAACCTGCAATCATGGGCGTAGCCAGGGAAGATGGGGTCGGAACTCTTCTTTTGAAATGTGACAAAAACTCATTTTTTGTGTCATACATAGCAATTTTTTGCAGCTTGAAACGCTTTTTGCACCATACAATGTTCTACATATGACTACAGTCACCTCACAATGGTACCATTGTGACTTTACCTCAACGCAGCTATCGTCATGGCTACTTAGATTATTGGTGCACGGAGTCGTTTCTTGTTTTGTTGTTGTTGAAACGCAAGATTACTGGGCATACCTGGTTGGAATGCCTTGACGTATTTATATTTATTTTCAAATTAACGTATATATGATACTGTATATACACAGTTCGACTTTTTTTTGTTATTATTTCCTTGTTAGACTTGCTTATGGGTGCCGCTGCTCGATAACCAAATTTGGTTTCTCGCGGCTCCCCTCACCCTGAAATACCTTTTATTTATTTATTACAATTTGTATATCAAGTGTGCATTTAGTATGGTGAGAAAATAAACTACTAACTGGTTCCCTAATTTTAGAAGAAAATATATTTATGCCACTGTACGTTAGCTTCTTTAATATGACAGGCTTTACATAAAATAAATATATAATCAACACAACACCAAATATATTGTTAGTTGTCAGCTGTGGTGAATGTAACCTATTTGACTGATTTTAGACCCTAAAGACTTTTGAAGATCCACGGTATTTGGCCCCTGGACCCACTCGTTGTTACAGTCTAACTTGGCAATTCAAAATTTTAGAATTCAACTCCCTCCCTTTGAAAATTTCTAGATATGCCCCTGCTTACAATACCAACATAGGTTCAATGCTTTAACCCCTAGGCCATGAGCATACACACATTTTATTATCTCATTTTCATACATAACTTTTACAGGTGATCTATTCCCATCTCTCGATGTGCCAAGGAAACGTGACCATGGTTTTGAAAAGAAAATCAGAAAGTCGATTCTATCCTTGAAATTACAGCCAGAAGAAAGTTTTGTTTTGAAGGTGAGTGGTTTAAGATATGCTTCAAGATCTTTCTCTTCTTTATGCTAAATGAGTCTTCAGAACAGCCATAGGTACACACAGGGCTAATATTTTATGAAGTACGTGTGTTTTAACTCAAGAAACGCTTATGAACGGCAAGATAACTATTGGACAATAATAACAAAGAAATAATGCTAACTTTGTCTATTTGAACTACCATATATCGTTTTGTACCTTTTGTAGATCACGTCCTACTAGACCAAATTCAATTTTGCTACTCGTTTGATCCATACAAACACTGTTGCCATTGCATCGCTGATTACCCTCTGTAGATTTGCAAGTTTGAATACTATTGAAGATAAATATCTGCAAGAACATTGCTTGACCCCTTGCCGTCCACATACCCTGTCTATTAGTTAGTTTAGACCAACGGTGCACAACCTGCGGCCGTACGGCCGCATGCGGCCGTCGCGAAAAAAAAATGCGGCTGTCTACATATAAAATCCTATGGAAAAAAAGTTCAAAATATAGGATTTGGCGGCTATGCTGGCGTATATTGAAGCAAAACAGAAGCACTGCAAAAAATGCAGACGACACGATGCGTCACAATCTAGATGGTGTATTTGCTGCCAGTTACCTCACTTTGCAAGTTTATCTGCCCACATGCAAGACCAAAGGAGTCATTAAATTGCTACAATTCTTTGCAAACTTTTATAGAATAAATTCATAAAAATATTTGACATTTTATTATACTTTTGGGGACAAGAAAATGGGGGCGACCGCCCCTCCCCGAATTTCGATTTTTTTCAAAATTGTGCAACCATTATGCAACTTGCAGAATATATCTGCTCTAGAATAGGTCCACCAAAAAAAAAAAATCCTTTTAAAATGCGAATATTATACTTCCAAGTAGTCCTACATACTTCATAATTGGGCAGAGTGCACCTCGCACGGGTCAAATACGCGGTTATGACGTCATAAAGCCAAAAAATTTCGCGCGCCATAGCCGCGCTATTAACCTCCTGGCGGCCGTATTGTATAAAAATAAATGCAATGTGGCCGCCAATAGCAAAAAGGTTGTGCACCACTGGTTTAGTCCATCATGAAAATATATACAATAGAACAATTAAGATTTTCATAATATTAGGGGAAAGGCAAAAAGACGGCTTATTCATATGGCGAACCATGGCTACTTGTCCAACTACCAGTCTAAGTAATTATCACAACGTCTGATCTGGACATGAAATTGTACGGAAGGTTTTGTCTTGACTTAATATTGGGCTGTTCTATTGAATTTTTCCTCCCTTGAGTAAAATATGAAATTCCTATTAATAACATATTTCAATGTTTTAGATGCTTATGATTATATTTTATCATTCATTTTAGGTCGTTCAATTGGAAGAACTTCTCCAAGTTCGTCATTCTGTATTTGTTATTGGTGGAGCTGGATCTGGAAAATCCAGCGTATTGAAGACTTTGCATGCTACTCACAAGGTCTTGAGTTCGAATCCTGTCTGGCATGATCTGAACCCAAAAGCTTTGACAACTAATGAGTTGTTTGGGTTTATCCATCCATCTACAAGAGAGTGGAAAGATGGTAGGTTTTATTTTATATCTCACTCTTTCAATATTTTGTTAGATTTAAAATAAGTTTGCTGTGATGATAATTTATTGGGTACTCCTGTAGTAAGCGATCCAAGATGGCAGACACCAGAACATAGTATGTGTACCAGGTTAGGGTTAGGCCATAATTCCAGGTACAAATACTACGAGTCACTTGGCTAGTCCCTGAACTCATAATAGAACTGAAATAAGGAAAATTGGAATAAAATTATGGCCTAACCCAAACCGGGTACGCATACTACGTTCGATAAATTATCATTATCATAGATTATACATCATATATCACATTCCCATATTTTTAGGTCTTTTCTCATCCATCATGCGAGACCAGTCTAATCTGACTAATGACTCTCCCAAGTGGATAGTATTGGATGGTGACATTGATCCTATGTGGATTGAGTCTCTGAATACCGTCATGGATGACAACAAGGTAATAACCTTAATTGAACTCCGTAAATTTGATATGTTTTGTGAACTAAATAACTAATTAGGGTGCTTGTTTCACTTATCACCCCATTCTGGTTGGTAGGTTTTAATCCTTTGCAGAATAGGTATGTGCGAAAGGATTGCTGGACTCCTCGCAATTGAAGAGTGCTCCACAAAACTGCTTAGTGGTTACACTTCCTTCACCATCAAGTCCATGATTAAGAAACAAATACATGTTTAGTTACCTATTCCCATAACCGATATGGACTGGTGAGCAGACGACAGGCATTGGTTCACCATAATATCTAGTCGTCTTTATGATTTAATAATGATTGTAGAAATTTTATCCCTAAAAATAAAAATAATATCCTCAATAATGCCCAATCATGGACCGGTGACCAAATATGGGGCTGTGGTTTACCATATAATCAAGCAGTCTTGTGATCTGAGTGAAATAATGATTGTCAAATCTCTATACCTAGGTACTTCATAAATTCCAAAAAAATTATTGTCAACATCTTAAACTACAGGTTCTCACCTTGGCAAGCAATGAGCGTATACCATTGACAGACTCAATGAGATTGTTGTTTGAAATTTATCATTTACGATCTGCCACACCTGCTACTGTATCCAGGGCTGGTATCTTGTATGTCAATCCTCAAGATCTGGGATGGAATCCGTAAGTTTGAAGATAATATTAAACAAAAAATTTGTGTAATATTGTCTGGAAGTTTGATCTATAGATCATTAATTTATGCACTACGATTTTTGCGTGTGTTCCACTGACATTAATACCAAAATTATCATAAAAGTATAGACATTTTTATCAAATATTATAACCTTGGGTGTCAATTAGCTTTGTAAACTGTGTTTTTAAATTTTTTCCATAATTGTATGCAATTGTTTTTGACTGGTTGGCTATGTTTTGACTATTTTTCAGAATGCTTCATACTTAAAACCAAAACAATTTAACCAACCTACTTGCTAAAAAATCTGAATTGCTTCCAATAAATCAATATTTTATATAACAGGCCTGTCTTAAGCTGGATTGATACCAGAAAGATTCAGTCTGAACGAGCAAACTTAACAATCCTGTTTGACAAATATGTCCCTACTTGCCTTGATGCAATCAGAACGACTTTCAAAACTGTTACACCAATTCCAGACAACACTATGGTTCAGGTATGTAAATTTATTTTGGATTCATTGGTTAGTTTTTCGAAATATACCTAATATTAGGACTTCATTAACTTCATATTTGTTTTCCTGCACAAATCTAATTATTTATCAATATGCAGTTTGCTGATTTGCAAAAATAAACCTTGAAACCTTGAAAAATGTCACTCAATAGAAAAAGGGCTGGAGGTCCAATCAAAACACTTCAGATACACAGACATTTTTTAATGTTTCATATTTCTGCAGTGTTTATAGTGTTAATGAATTATTATTGTATTTTATGTGACTAAACACGTACCACTTTTTGGCAATACTTTTTTCTCTAATTTTTATACTGTTTTAAACTTTGCTTAATGTTTTGATTTCTTTCCGTTTTTTTATAAATTTATTTTATGTCATCATTATGGAACCAAAATAAACTTCGACTCATTATTTGTTTATTTTACAGACCCTTTGCTATCTTCTCGAATGTCTTGTTACCCCAGAGACAGTACCACCTGATTCTCATCGAGATCATTATGAACTCTACTTTGTATTTGCTGCTGTTTGGGCTTTCGGTGGAGCATTACTCCATGATCAGGTGAGAAGTTATTTTGAAACCTAATGTACTCAATTTCTGGAACTTCGAAATTTGTATCTTGCGTCTGTTTGCCAAAAACAATGACGTCGGTTCACGTAGGAACTACTTTGCGAGATGCGATTCTACAAAAAAGAACGAATGTCAGGCAATACCCGATTTGGTTGTAAGCTAGTCTCCTTGCCCATCGAAATTGATTCTATGTATAAAAATTATGGAGATATCAAAAAGGTATATCTATTGCGTCCTATATTGCTGTTTGCCTTTTTTTGAAAGTCTACAAATTATAGCTCAAATGTAAATCCAATCTGCTGTCCATATAGCAGGCTAATAAACCCACTGAGGAGGTGGCTATTCAAATGGAAATTGCGACCATATAACCATCCCTACTCGAACTTTTCAGTTTCGCACGTTTGTATCTTTCAGCTCATCGACCACAGACTTGAATTCAGCAGATGGTGGGTGAAAGAATTCAAGCAAATCAAATTCCCTGCTTCAGGAACTGTGTTTGATTTCTGTATTGACCCCAAGACCAGGAAGTTTGTGCAATGGAAAGAAAGAGTTCCTGTTTTTGAGATGACCCCTGACCTTCCTTTACAGGTTTGTGCAATTATTATTTAAAAAAAAAAAAAATTGTGATACATGCAGAATAGTAAGTGATTTCATTATTATTTGTGGAAAAAAAGTAACCTGTCAAGATTTTTTATACATATGGAGAATGGCAATAGATAGATAATAATTTATTTTTGAATATTTCATTAAGTACATATTGCAGTAAGAATAAGCAAACAAACAATAATCATAAAATATGATTGGAAGGGGCTGACGGACACCTAAGGAAGTTCCTATCAGGACAAGACACTATGGCACAGGCATCGTCATCGCTGTGAAAATTTTTTTTTTTTTTCGGGTTTTAAGCCGGTTAAGAGGCTTAATTTCCAGTTCCAGGATTAGGAGGCAAATATTGCGTAAAAGAAGTTGCATTTGACCTTCGGTTAGCAAAACCTGCCAGCAACAGGGAAAAATCAATTTTTTCTGAGAGCCTGGAGTATTGGCGCATCTTGCTAAGAGTTAAAAATACGTTTGTCATCACACCTCTTGTTACCCTGCGTGGGTTCACAAGTTTGAATCCAACGAAGGATAATTATGTATAGGTGGGATTGCCGGACTCCTCATTGTTGTGAGGTGGTTCACACAACTGCTCGTCATTTATGAATTCCTCCAGTCCTTGCATCTCAAACTACTGGCTATCTATTCCCATACCTGTGATGGAGTAGTGAGCAGACGAGAGCTCGTGGTTCACCGTCCTATCACATTTCCTTTCACCTGGGATAAATATGAAATTTCTTACCTATTTTGATCTTTATTCACATTACCATTTTCTATGCATCCGTGTCTCCTGCACAAGGCTTTCAATGAGATGCGTGTGACGCTTTTCTTAGCGCAATATGCCATCTGTGAATTACTATTGGCAAGAGGCTTTCATTACCTTGGACTATTTTGTTTATTTTTTCAGTCTGTCCTTGTTCCGACTGCTGAGACAACTCGAATTCGATCTTTGGTTGATCTTCTGCTGGCACATGAAAGACCAGTAATGTTGGTGGGACCTGCTGGTACAGGCAAATCATTACTGGCAACTGGAGCTATAAAAGGATTGGAGAATGAATGCAATGTTTCGAGTGTGCCTTTCAATTATTATACAACTGCTGCTATGTTGCAAGGTAAGAATAATAGGTACTCCCGAAGTATGTGAACCAAGATGGCTGACACCGAAACGAAGTATGTGTACCAGGTCAAACCATAACTTTATTCCAATTTTCCTTATTTCAGTTTTATAACAAGTTCCGTGACTAGCCCAGAGGCGTAGCTTAGGGGGGGCAGTGGGGGTACATATGTCCCCGGGCGCCAAGGTACAGGGGCGCCAAAATGGGGCTTGCAAAAATTTCACAAGGGTAAAAAACGGTCATAAGCAAGATCGCACCGGCGGCAGACATCTAGTCTTAGTACATGGCAAACTGCACACTTGGTCAGACGACTGCCGACGTCATCACGCACATAGCACGGTCAGATTTCCATCGTAATTACATGGCCAAAAAATCTGGCCGGGAAACAAAGCAAAATTTGATTTGGTACCGTTATGCAACAAAATGTAAAACGTGGTTCTGTATCGTTAAGTTCTTGCCTGCGCACTCCGATGTAAGTTGATATCAGTACTGTGCTGGAGACAAATGGAAACGAAATTTGGGGAATGATGTTAATACATGTTTTGAGTAATACGTAGTTTTGTATTTCGTTGTTGTCAAAGTAAGTTTTACCTAATCTGCGAATCTCTCTACAAATTTTGTTAACAATACCAGTTTCAATTGTAAGCTGTGAACGGTCTTTCAGCAAATTGAAACTTATTTTGTCGTATTCGCGTGCATCAACGGGACAGGATCGTCTCAGTGATCTTGCACTTCTAAGTGTTGAAAGAGAAACATTGGGAAAAAAACAGATTTTGATAACGTGTTAACCAGTTTACGACAGTGAAATTGAAAAAATGAATTTATTGTAGACTATGTAAATCATCTTTGACAGTAACTGAGTAGGACATATGCTCTATTTTGTATAGCTTTGCTTCTTCTTTAAATAAAATGTTCCATTAAAATTTGAATTTACATATACATATATTTTTGAATAAATAATAAAATATATAAATATATATAAATTTGAATTCACTTATCGTCACGCTAAAAACCGAATTGCGTAAGTCATTTTTGGCGGTTTTGAGTTTTTCATAAAATAGGTATTTATGTAATGCTGCGCACCTGTCTGTTAACTCAGATTTTATTTTAAGAATTCCGAAACCCATAAAAATAGAGATTTTGTATGATATGCATATTTGTTCAATTGTTCCATCATAATGAATTATCATTGTTAACGCAGGACTATTGTGACGTCACAAAGGCAAAATAACCTCAGCGAAGGATTTTCGAGTTTTTGCATCTCAGATTCTAGGTTGGCGCCAATAATTTTCAATTTATACTACTGTATAGGAAGGCGTGCACTTGTGATATTCACTGTCTGAGTCCAATTCACCTTGGTTCACTTTTATATAAGTGAACCAATTCACTCACTTTTATACATTTTTACTGTTTTATTCTTTATATTTAACTTTAGTCTTATTTCGGTGGATGTGCAGAGCGTGTTATATTGATGAAATATATATTTTTAAACTCAAAAAAATAATGTAATTGAAACAGATTAGCTATTTTGGGGATTTTGGATTGTTTGGTTTTCAAGACTGGTACATATAGTCAAGTTGCAAAATTGCGTATGTGCCCTAGTCATAGACACATTTTTTCCTAAGTCACAGTGCGCCATTATGACGTCACATGACTGCGTCATACAAACTAACTTAAATCCGTCTACGATCAAAAAGTTGAACTATGGCAAATTAATGGCATAGCAGTATCATTAAGAAGTTTTTTTTACGTTTTCCTCAAAACAGCTAAAAATGACTTTCGCAATTCGGTTATTAGCGTGACGATATATAATTTGTTTTTACATATACAATTAAATGCAATAGAAAACATGATTAAACGTGAGGGTCGGGGCGCCAATTTTATATTTTGCCCCGGGCGCAAAATATCCTGGCTACGCCTCTGGACTAGCCAATTGACTTCCGTAATATTTGTACTTGAAATTATGGCCTCACCCTAACCTGGTACACATACTACGTTCCAGTGTCCGCCATTTTGGTTCACATACAACGGGAGTACCGAATAATAACAATACTTTGACATACACTGGTTACATATTGAAAATCCATAGTGCTGGACTGCTGGTTAGGTCAGTTGTTCCCAAACTTTTTCTCAAGCGACACAAATTAAGAAGATTTCGTAAAATCTCGCGACCCAAGAATATGCTAAAGACTAAACGTGTAGTACTTTTATGACCAAAATTAAACAAATATTATAAAACAATCAATTTCATATAACAATTATATCCCCAGAAATTACTATAAAGTGAGAAAAAGCGAGTCGGGACCCATAGGCTGAGAAACACTGGGTTAGGTTACTTCAATAAAAGTGCATTCCTTTCAACATTTGTCTTTCATGTTTCTGAATTTAGATCTCACGTTATAATTATATATTTTTGACATCTTTGGCAATTATATATATATTTGGTTGGTGGAGTGGGGAATTCCCCAACAAATCCAGTGTTCTTATAGATCTTTCATTTGAACTGAAATAATTATCTATCGCAAGTAAGCGATGTTAGTTGAATAGTTCGGAAAATTCTTATTCACCGTCAATAACAATCGTTCCAAAAGTTAAATGCCTGATATTGTCATTCAGATGTTACAAAGTTATCTTTTTCACGATTGAGTGTCACTGGGTGAAAAAAACGGTACAATCGATCTTTAGTTGATCTTTGTTAACAATAATACCAGTATAAAAACACCAAAATTATTATTGAATTTGTAGATTATATGATTAGTTATCAAGATTAACATGAAATGTTTATATAACTTATTATTGAAAATTCAATATCTGATTTTTTATGAAATAACTTCTCACAGGGATGCTGGAAAAACCTTTGGAAAAGAAAGCAGGCCATAACTTTGGTCCTGTTGGTTCAAAACGTCTCGTATATTTTCTCGATGATTTGAATATGCCGAAAGTTGACGAATATGGTACTGTCGGTCCCCACACTCTTGTGCGACAACATCTGGATTATGGACATTGGTATGTATTAATTAAAGTAAAAATTTAACTAATTCTGGTTAAAAATAATTACAATAGGATTTCATATAAGCTGACTTATTCAGGAGGAGACTTATTCAACTGCTGCCTGCCGCCTGCTTTACAGTCCAGGTTAGGTATGAAATAGTTGACCACTTCATTGCGAAATATGCATGGATTATATTGGCAGCTGAAATTCAGCCTCCTGGATGACCCACTGAGTGTTTTGAGATCCCTCATCAATGCTATAGCTCAATGTCTCAATGATGTTTTTTTGTACTTTGTCATGTCTCGATTGTTTACTTGATCTTTATATAATGATTGAAAATATCTGAATTTTGGAAAAGGGTGAATAATTTCAAATCAAATCCTGAAAAGCGGCAGAAGTGCTTGGTGTTTACTTTTCTAGTTGTCTAAAACATACTCCAGTGCAAGGTGCAAATGCATTTTTGACACCACCCAGCAGATTATAGATTCTGTGGTTCACCTGAGAAAATTTACAATCCGAATTAGTGTTAAAAAGAAGTTGACCTTGTACTTTGACTACGACTTCTGAGAAAATTGAATTTTGACAAACACTTGGTGGCATATGCATGTCTTCTTTAATAGACTGTTAGAATTTACTTGTATCGCTTCGTGGGATCGGTAATTTTGCTTAGTATCCCCAACTCAAGTGAACACGCATCAGACTTGACTCATGCCTCCACAGCTCTAGTTCACCATGTGACTAATTCATGTTGTCACCTTTCCACTGTCAAGAAACAAAGTCATCAACCTCCTTTTCATTCCTACATCATAAGTTTCTGTATTTTTCATCAGGTACGATCGTTCGAAACTATCATTGAAAAAAATTCACAACACTCAGTATATTGCCTGCATGAATCCAACTGCTGGGAGTTTTACTGTTAATCCAAGGCTGCAGGTTAGTAGAATCAAGTGACTGAAAAGATAAAGATAAGTGAGGCCTAATTAGTAATATGTCACGTTGGTGACAGCCTTTTTAGACTCGGCAAATTTTTGTTAGGGGAATTAATAATTAAAACTAGTGCAAATGTACTGGTACACGTGGCGGTGCAAGGATTGAACAACCTAACTTAGCGGTACATGCCGTCAGCTTGCGTAATTTTAATGACGCCCTAATATAACCGGATACCTAAGAATGAACAGACCAGAATAGTTTCATTGTCGGTACTATATCTGAAATGAATTTATTATGTGAACAAAAAGCATTTGGCAAAAAATATATATGTAATGTTGAATATATAGAACTTTTATGTGTATCACTGCCTATAATTGAAATTTATTGGAGGCAGACTAGAAAATGCTGAGCAGCCCACAATTGGGCCCGAGCCACAGTTGCCACTGACTGTCCTAGATACACCACTGGAACCAGTGCTAGTATTTATTCTGAAACCTTCGCCACAGATATATATAGCCTGCAAGAATGCCATCGGATTACACATATCAACTCCAATATGGGAAATATTATATAAACATTCCATTTGTTATCATTCAGAGACATTTCTGTGTGTTTGCTGTCAACTTCCCTGGAACAGAAAGTCTAGAGAGAATCTACTCAGCGATTATGAAATGGCATATCACTGGCAGTGGTGAGTCTGGTTTGACTTTTATAGGATTAGCAGTTTAGTTGGCAGATTGTGTATTCGGAGTCGAGTCTAGTAGCAAGTAAGAAAGTAGAATAATCCAACCAGTGGGTTCCCAGCTTCCCAACCAGTGGGTTGCAGCTATTCAAGGTGGGTCTCGAAATATTTCATATGTTACATATAGTTTTCGATTAGATCAGGAAATTGTGGCATTATCATTATGTAACAATTAGAATTATGTGTCGTTATTAGACTTGATCTAATAATATTCGATAGGCAATATCAAGTTTCGCATCAATAGTATATTGCATGGGGATGGACATGGATACATTGTTTATTTTCTCATATATTGACATCTCATAGTGGATTGCACAGAAAAAATGGCAATAAAAGTGGGTTGCGAACTGAAAAAGGCTGGGAAGCACTGGTATGATCAGTCTGAGTAAATGTAGTACATGGGTAGGAAAGGTTTTTTACTTATATTCTATGCCACAGGGTAAGATTACCAATTTACTACTTTTATGTTGCATGAACTGCTAAACCCATGAGAGGCCATGGATTGCCATATGGTTGAAACATATTATTGGCTATCTTCTCGCCCAGGATAAATATGAAATTCTATGCTTTAAATTCCATTTGAAGTTTCGTCCTGTATGTTTTTCATATGTGTTGTCTTTTTTTGTACCATGGCAGAGTTGGAAAAATGATTCTGGCATAGTTTGGTCAAAAGTAAACTTAGGCACCTGTGATGGTATGGAATATCTCCTTTCATGTGGCACGGAGCTTTCTAGAGCGCTCTTTTGTGTATATAGCAGGTGTGTATACGCATGAAAATCATGAAAAAAAAATTTGAAGGATCCGCCCATGGTTGATGTCATTCGTGAAAGTTTTTTAAGCAAAATGGTATGTTAGACAGGGTTGTGAATTTTCACTGCAAGGGTTTCAAGACGAAAAGGCAAATGTTGAAATTTCAGTTTATTTGAAAATAGTCTGACTGACTTAATGTAAAAAATGTATGAAACGTTTCAATAAAGTATTTGAAGGTGGATTTAATATTATCATACCTGGCATAGAAATGTTTCGTTGGGTATTATAAGAACAGTTTGTCAAGAAAATTCGCCGAAATAAAAGAGATTAAATCTCCGAGCAAAGATGCGACCACTATTGAATTCCCAAGAGAGTGATTCGTTGTCAACACTGATATAATCATTAGTCAATGAGGAAAATAATTTAGGGGTGATTTAATATCGTTTGGTGTTGTTCAGTGTACAAAGTCAATTTACTGAAACTGTTTTCCTCATGTACTAGAAATTCCCTTTGCCGATTCTGAAGTTTTATTTGTATTACTTGTTAGCATAAGGAGTGTCACATTAAGAATGTTCTTTTAATAAATATCTGTTTGACATTGGTGAACATCCAACAAATTTTGACTTGCCTTACACGTATGTTCATTTCGAAAAGTTTATGATGATTTATATATGTACATGATAACATGGTGTTGTCAGTACTCAGTGGTTCATGTACCGTTCAAATCGTGTCAATGAACTCAGGTCATTAATCCTACATACTTTAACCAGGGCAGGACAGAAAATTTTGGTTTCAACTCAGTCATAAAAAATTCCAATTCTTACCATGCAGAAAATCAAACCTTGATGGCAAATGCATTAGTACATAATATAAGCCTTCTTTAACTGACTATTACGGTGTACATATAGTAAAATTAATGCTTTTTGAGTTTTTACTTATTTTATCACCATTGAAAGTCTGCAATTCCAAATTTTGACTCCAGGGAGTTTGAAAAAATGACTTAAGCTCCAGTTAAAAGATGTTGAACTCTGACCTCTACAGCCTTTCTCTGTACATCTCTGTTTTATAGTGATATAAAGATGTTTTCTTTTCCTATTTTTTATGTTTATGGTGGCACTGAGATATGTGGCTTAGTCAGACATTTGATCTCTTTCAATAAACTCAAGTTGGGTTGAAATAAGTTGTACAGACAAACTGCTGCTTTACCTTATTTAAAGCAAACCAAACTTGAAACAAGTTATTAATCAAGCTTATGGAGTAAGTAATTGATAAAACACTGATCAGTGTGATTGAATTATAGGGTAAATATTGCTATTTGCTTTCACTTTCCGGTAGTCAATTCTGAGCAGACGCTCATATGTTGTTCGATCCTCTAAGGCAGTGGTAACTATTAGCAATTTGCTTTCAATCCAACTCAGCCATTTTTCACTCGCAAGTCTTCCGAGTGTTATTTGTTTGACCCTCTATGGGTCTTTCTAATGTAGACATATATTGTGTATTGAACTGCAGGGATTTCCTTCTTTGGATGTGGCCATTGACGAGAGGCCTAGTTTGCCATATGATTAAGCCGTGTTATTGGCTTCCCTCTTTCTGGGATAAATCCTATCCTATCATGATAGCATTAAAGTACTCGTCATGTCATTATTAGACGATGCCAATATACTTGCTACTCTGCGGAAGAGCTTGTTATTTATCTTTAGAGCGTCCTGCCCTTTTGATGGCGTTTAATTACAATATGAGTCAACACAGTATGAGTTTATACAAATAGCAACTACAGGGTGCGTTTTGTGTGATATTGTTTTAATAACGTCACTTGGCGACGATTGAACTCCAGTTGAATATTTGTTCATGTGACCAGAGTGAGTAATATTAGAACAATCACCCTTACAAAAGGTTACAGATCATGTTGTTATTGAACAATCAAATTTCATGCTCACTGCTTCACCCATGGTGTAAGGCAGGGGTGTGCAACCTTTATTACAGGAGGGCCATATTCAAATAATTGGATGAAGCCGCAGGCCGCACTTTTATTAAGGTATAATTTCTAGTTGAAGTTTTTGCTAGCAGGTTTTGCTAATATTACAGTGGCACCCGAGTACTGGTATAGGCTTTGCGACGCAAGGGAATTGCTCGCACGTACCAGAATAACTAAACCATATAACTCGTTTCGCGGGCACACCATTCAAAACTGGAACTTTACCGTGGGCCGCACAATATTTCCTTGCGGGCCGCAGTTTGCACACCCCTGGTGTAAGGAATGAAGGGGGGAGGTTTGTACCACACATAGCACACAAACTACTCTATTGAAATCTGTATGGTGCAATAGGCTTGTTAGATTATGACCGCAGTCTGTGTGAGCTGGATTTTAAGTTGATGGCGTGCTTTTCATACCTCTTTCAAATGTGCTTGTTGCATGCGAACACGTGAAGCCTCAACTTTGTTCCCCCAAAGTTATTGGGTATGTAATGCCAAAAGGAACGATTCCAGACACTCCAAAAAAAGTGGTTTGTCTATGATGCATACAGACCCTATTTTCTAAGTATATGCGATAAAACAGCTCACAAAAAATAAATCACAAACAAAAATTTCCATTTTTAAAGTTTATTGCAAATTTTCCTATTTTCTAAGTATATGCGATAAAACAGCTCACGAAAAATAAATCACAAACAAAAATTTTCCTTTTTTAAAGTTTATTGCAAATTTTTTATTCAAAATGTGAATGTGAAAATGAAATAATCTCCATACGCATTAAATATTTAAATAAATTCAAAAATTCAGAATTTTCAAAGTTAGGAAAAACAGTTCATTTTAGTACGGTGAAATTTTCTGAATAGGATGTCTATATATAGATGCTGAAATGCTGGTGTAAAATACAAAATGTTTGAGTGAAGGTGTTTCAAAAAAAATAAAAAAACGAATAAGGAAATGAATATAAAAAAGTTATGGGAGAACATCCCAATTCTATCCTGCATTTTCAACCTATATTGGACATGAATCATATATTCACATAAACAATGACGGAATAAATTATTTATGGTATCTACTGCGATTTTACTTTTACTTTTTCATCGCAAATTCAATTTTACATATCTTGTTTTGCAAATGATCGGTGCTATATATGTACAAATAGCGGAGATTTTTGCATTTGTTTCGTGTGCTTGAAGACTTAGGAGGAAACTCGGTTTAGTGCATTGAAGTTGGAAGCCAAATATTCACCATTTTACAAAAAATAAAAGTGTAAATTAAAAAACTGCTTCTGAGTAGGTAATAATATGAAGAAATACAACTATAGTATGCATGCTAAGTATGTATTAAAATTCTGAGTAAGGAAAACAAGTGAGAATTGTAAACACTGTGTGTGCTATTGGCAGACTATAGAACCTGGAACAATGAAAACTAAGAAACCTCAAATGAACTAAAAAAGCACTCTTACACTGAAGAATATTGTGAAGTAAAACTTAAAATTATGTGAAAAATCAGAAGTGTTAAATAAAGTATGTCATGATAGTTAATGTGAAGTGGGCAGTTCAAAATGCATACACAAAAACAAAGGCACAAAATAAAAAGATAATCCCAATTGCTGATTCAAAAAAAAATTATGTACAATGTCACACAACCAGTCACACAAATGTATACAAATATTCCCTGGGCAATAAGTTTTTTTTTGGCAATTTGTAAGGCAGTCATACTGTAACCTCTCACTATGAGCAAGCTTTGTTGTATGAGATATAGCATCAAGTCCAACTTGGAACAGACCAAGTCCATAGTGGGTTAACGTGTAACAATCAACATCTTAATTGTAACAATCTTTTAAACAGATGCTCATGTATCGGTTGATGAATACTAAAAAGCAGTAACGTTCTTTATTAATATGAAAATTCATTGGCTGGGGTTTCTTAAACTCACTTGCAGAAGTTATCCTTCTCTGGCCTGAGGCAGGACACAAGTGTTGCGGGAGTTATTGGAATGGGGTCCATGATCATGAAAGTTTGATACGCGCGGCCCTGGGTTGTTTTCCAGTTTACTCCAGTGATATTGAACCACCAAATAATATATTTTGTTTGCGTCCATTTCATCCATACCGATTTAGAATTATTATTTTTATGCAATTTTTTTTTTAAATGGTGTCATTTCAACCAACGCAGCATATAACCAACACCAACAGTTCAAGAAGATTTTTTATACTACTTCAGTTGAGCGCTTCTCACTGCTCAAATTTTTTTATCTGGCAAGCAGACTGGAACTCTTTATCAAATGATATAAATAAAGATAAGTTACGGTAGTTTTATCAACTCGTATATCAAGCAGAGTCTACAGTGGTTTACCCGATGTTCAAAGACAAAAAATCTTGTTTACAAATCTTTTATTCCTCCTAGCGGAAACTTCAATCCTTCTTTAAATTTCATGCTAACCAATTTACCAAGAGAGTAATAAAATGGTTGGGCAGTGCCGGTATTTTGTATGCGGCTTTGTACACAGCAAAAGGTATGAATAAAGTGCACATACCGAAGTCTGTATATCGATGTGATGTGCAATGAAAAGCACATTATGTACATAGAACAGTTCACGAATTGCTAGCATTTTTTGTCTGGCAAGCGCCGCAACCTTCCAACAAAACGGCATTGAAATTTCTGCAATTAATATTCATTGAAACCGCCATAGCCCGGCCACTCAATTGCAAGTCTGTCATTGCCTTCCTCATATCTATCTGGATAATACAGATCCATTTGGCGGAGTTGTTCCATTCCAGATTCCCGATTCTGTAAATATTGATTGTCTGTGTAATAATCAGGAGACTGTGCTCCATATTGTAATTGTCTAAGGTCGTACGATTCCATGAGAGGTTTCAATTTCTCCACGGGTTGATAGTTTGCATCATGAGACCGTGGTGGCTCTAACCAGTGGTCGCTTTGTGATGTTTGCTCCTCCCTTTTTCGAATTATAACAGTTCTTAGCATTGGAGGCGTTTTATCGTTTTTTTCTGCATTTTCTGAATTGTGCGACTTCGAACGTTCCCTTCTGGGATAGTCTTGCTTATTTGCTCGACTTCTCGGTCTATGTTGATATTGAGGGACTTTTCTTGGCCTTGACTTTAGTCCCAAGCCTCTTGAACTTCGTTGGGCATGGCGATTCCTCAAAGAAATGCCCCTTGGTTTCCGTGGTGCATGAGAGGTATTGGACTCCTTATAGCTTCTGTGAGAAATGGAGGTACGATAACTATTACGGTTTTGTAGTTTCAGATTTGTCAGGTATTTATTGGATGTAGACCGATTTTTGGATGTGTTTTTTTTAGACGTCTTTGAAGAAGAGAGATTTGCAGGGTACGGTTTTGTCGGTGTGTGGGAGCTTTCGTCATCAGACTGGTAATTGCTATTCTGAATTTCATCGGGGGGAGTGGTAGGCGGTGTTACCGGCGAGATTAGACTCAATCTACGCCTTAGAGTGTCAGAGTGAGAGACGGTAGAGGAGATATTGTCAACCATACTAGACATCGAGGACTTTCGTGAAGCCCGTGGTGATGCAGGAGGAGAATTTTCAGGTGTTATATCAGCCGTTGACAATACTACCATTTCTGGTGACTCCACACGTTCACATTCAGCCTTATCAAATCTCCTTCGCTTTGAACCAGATTCATGGTCGCTATTATGGTTTCTCGATTCCTCCGGGAATCGGCTTGATGAAGGCGATTTCTTTAATTCCTTTTTTATTTTTATACTTGTATTTTTGCAGGCTAAATCTTTTGTCCTTGGGTCTCTTACACTAACAGGGATATCATTAGTGAATCTCCAACGGGGATCTGTTTTGAAGTTTTCAGCCATTATTACTTTATCCTGCCTCGCGACTTTTGCTTTGTCTTCTGTTGTAAGTCTGTTTGTCATGTCAAGAATGTGGTCGGCGTAGCTAGATGCAAAACTAAGTAGTCTTGACGGGATTTCCCTCGATATATTTCGCAGGTAAATCTACAAGAATAAAATCGGAAAAATAATGAAATTATTCGAATTGATATGTCCTCAGGACCTCAACAGCCAGAGCCTGATATACCAACAATATTTTTTGATATATTTAGTGGATATTGACGAAAGTCTTCAGCGCTCCAGAAGTGTTTGTACCAATATGGAGGTAACTAATTTTGTTCGCCTACTTTACATCAAGTTGTGTAAAGGGACTGAAACCTATGGGCAAGGAGTATTCACTTGGCTAACGCGAACAGTCCTCGAACTCGTAATAGAACTAAAATAAGGAAAAATCGGAATAAAATTATGGCCTAACCCGAACATGGTACACCCTTCGTACTACCTTCCATTCCACATTTTTTTCTACATTAGGTTCATTTTCTACATTAGGAACATTGGGTTCAACTAACATGTGGTGAAGTATCTTTTTCATTTGTTTCTGTAGGTTGATATAAACGGGGCTGGGTAGTGGAGACGAGACCCAGGATTACACCATAATAGATTTAAAATACTTTTCTCTCATCTTTCATGGAGGTTGTCATACTAACAAAAAACTGGGGGGTAATCCCGAAGTATGTTGACCAAGATGGCTGACACTGGAACGTAGTATGTGTACAAAGTTAGAGTTAGGCCATAATTTCAGGTTCAAATACTACAGGAGTCACTTGGCCAGTCTCCGAACTCGTGATATAACTAAAATAAGGAAAATTGGAATAATCTGGTACAAAATATAAAATATTTTTCATATTTGATCTTGCCGCCTCATTTTGGACTTTTACATTTATTTATTATTCACACATATTTTTAATGTGCTGATTGAATGAAACTTTCTTTCACCTCACTGTATGTAATTTGCAGCTTATTGTTAGCCGGTTCTGAGGTGGGGCACGAGACTTCACAATTTCTAAAAAGGGACGCAGCTTCTAGAGAGAACATAACTTTTATGCAAATTGCAAAGCGTGCCAGGTCAGTGAAATTTTGGGCGCTTTAGTATGTGAGCCAAAATGGCTGACACCGGAGCGTAGTTGGTGTACTAGGTTAGGGTTAGACCATAGTTTTATTCCAATTTTCCTTATTTTAGTGACTTCCTTAGTATTTGTACCTTACTCTAACCTGGTTCACATACTACGGGAGTACCATATTTTGGGTACAATATTAGAAAAAAAGAAAATTGTAAAAGTAATTGAGTCCAAGATATTGAATAAAAATTATATTGCGTACTACCATATATGCTCGTTTTACCGCCCGATCTTGATTAAGGGCTCGTTTGAATAGCCGCCCGTGTGAACAGAACATAATAATAAATTAGGGCCAGTGCTTGAATACCTGCCCGATGTAAAAGCTGATTTTTCAGTGGCGAAACAATAGGAAATAAGAAGCGCTTTTGTCACAACGCTGTTGAATTTTAAACTCCGGTAGATAACACTCGCGTTACATCTAGGCGTCCAAGTACATTGCATTGATTACGTAACACCATGGTTCTCAAACTGGGCGTCGCGATGCCCAAGTGCGTCGTTTCAATATTGATAGGGCGTCGCAAAACTATTCTCCTTTGTTGCGGATTTGTACCTGCGGTGCGTAGAAAGTCAAAATTTCCGTTATTCTCGTTTAAATCATACTTGTGAACGGGAAATAACAATATATATATTAATTATTGTAACGATTGAAAATAACGAGCGCCCATGCTTGAATAAGGGTCGGTTTGAATAATGGCCCGGTTAGTGAGTTGGTTGAAAAAAATATGGGCCCGGGCTATAAAACGAGCAAATACGGTAAACTGAATCGAAAGAAAATTTACGACATTCCAACTTTGGAAGGATAATTTTATGCGGACAAATTTTATTGCCTTTTGCAATGATCTAAATGTGTAAGGCAGCATTTTGAGCTTTTTACGAATGTGACGAAATACAGGTCAAGACTTGGTAGCGTTTGCTTGTCACAAATTGCTCCGTGATTTGTGCAACCTCATCCCTCACAGGTTGTGCTGTTGTGTTGTAAATGAAACATCATCCTTCCTTATTGGTTAGGCGCAAAAATTGATATGACATAGGACGAGGGTCTTGTCAAAAATAACATTCGCAAACAGGAATCCGCGGCCCAGAAGTTTGGGAAACCCTGCTCTATATAACTTGTGTGTATATAGGCGAGTCCTGTGCATGATTTTTCTTTTGAAAAGATGAATTTTGTGCAGAACAAATTGTGTAGAAAAGTTCAGTAATTACTGACCTGTAAGTTCCTCTGATGACAATTCACCAATTCTATTTCGTATTTAAAAATTTCCATATGTCGTCTTCTGTCTGCTTCTTTAGTTTGCATTAGCAAATCTACATGAGATCCCTTACCAACCATTGCATTCAATTTCAATACCATTGCTTTCATGTCTTCTTTCCCAATTTCTGTGTTGCAACTGAAGTCGCTTTTACTCTCAATTTTTACAGTTTGGGTTTTGCGGTTCCTAATACTCAGACTGTTTAATTTATCCCGAAAGGTTGTGATACAACTGGAGTCGCTTTTATTCTCAATTTCCTCAGTCTGGGTTTTGCGGTTCCTAATACTTGGACTATTTAATTCATCCCGAAAGGTAACCTGTGGGTCTTGCATTTTCGAAGTTTTGTGGCCAAAATCAGTCATGAACCTTGTCAACTTAGCCCATGTCATCCATACAATAGGCTTGTTTTTTGCGTTTGGATTAAGTGGCTCCACCACTATGTACGGAGATTCTTCGTACAGAGATTCGTCATCCATTTTGCTTTTATATTAGTTATACCGTCAATACACCGTAATCCTGTAACGATATTCAAAGGTATTTTTATATTGAACTATTGGCAATATTGTTCTGCAGTCTGGAAGGAATTTGCAAGCACTCAAATTTGTGCAGAAATATGCACCCTTTCTGCAACAGCAAACTCTCAATTTATTATGAAGTATATTCACAAAACAGCAAGAAAGAAATGCAGGGAACTCGTAAACTTAATGAAACAGTATAAAGAAATAACATTCTCAGCTACAAGGCTCCATTTCCCCAAGAGACATGACATGCGGGAGCACATGAGGTCACAGCTGTTGCTAGTTATAAATAATTTAAACCACCAGAGGAAATTCTGACAGTCCCCTGGGGCCTGTCATTTAATGTAACATTTCCAGGATCATATTCATTCAAGTAAATTGATTGATGTTTGTCTTATTCTTTGGTTTTTTATTATTTCAACATGGGGCATAAAAATAAGTGATGGAAATGCGTAGAAAGCAATGGAAGGTATTGTGAGAGCGGGGGCAAAAGGGGTTGAAATTTCAGAACAAAGGTCCCAGGCTGTTTCCAAATAAAACCAAAAATAAAACCAATGATAACGAACTACCAAATAATGCCTTTTAACTGTGTTTGGCACCGTTCCAACCCCACCAGTACAGTATGAATTCAAAAGCACAGGTCCATCTTCGGTTAATAAGAAAGAACAAAACTGAAACAAACTGATCTCTTAACAAAGAACTCAAATAACTTCTACATTGTATATTCGTCATCCAAAAACTGGTTTCTGTCGTAGCCCTCTCTTCTCTCTTTTGTAAATCTAATGTGATGTATGTCATTGTTATGCTCATTCAAACTTGGATGATATGATTGTCTATGTACCGTTGATTTCATTCTAGGTTCCATATTTTGAACATATTGACGGTTTGAATAAGTCTGTGACTTATATTGTGGTTGATTTTCAAGATGGTTTGTATTATATTTATAAGTCTGTGACTTATATTGTGGTTGGTTTTCAGGCACTTGCCAGCCCTTGCTTTGCATTGTTTTTTTCTGCGAAGTTAAGTCCCCTCTATTCCGTATTTGAGCAGTTTTTGGCATTGGAGGTGTTCTTTCATATTTTCCAGCACTAACATTTTCCAAATTGCTCGATTTTGACCGCTCTCTTTTGGCATGTTCTTGCTTCGATGTTTGACTTTTTGGTCTGTTTTGATCCCATTGTTTAAGTTTTGTAGCTTGCTCCTCTTCTTGGGAGGCCCTTTTAGCCCTTGACCTTAGTCTTGGGTCTCTTAAATTTTGTAGGCCCGTTGGCTTGGGTGGTGCATGAGAGTTATTAGACATGTTACAGGTCCCTTGAGGGTCTGCAGATCGATTAAGATTTGGATTCTGTAGTTTTATATTGATTGGGTACTTATTGGTCGTAGGCTGACCTTTAGATGTGTTATTTTTATAAGTGTTTGAAGAAGAGAGATATGCAGGGTAAGGTTCTGTGGGAGTGTGGGGCCTTCCATCAGCAACAGGCCTAGAATTGCCATTTCGGATTGAACCCAGGGTGTTTTCGGATGGTGTTACCGGTGTGTTACAACTGAACCTACTACGCCTTGGAGCGTCAGAGTGGGAAACAGGACGTGAGACATGGCCACCGATGACTCTCGGTATAGAGTATGTATCCGAGGACTTTCGTGAATTCTGTTGTGTTTTTAAGGGAGAATTCTCAGGTGTTATATCAGCTGTTGACAAAACTACCATTTCAGGTGACTGAGAACCACATTTATTCTCTTTAAATCTCATTCTTTTTGAAACAATACCAGAATCATTATTATTATTCCCGTTTCTCGATGCTTCAGTAGGAATTTCACGGCTCCGTTTTAAAGATGTTTCTTTTAATTCCTTGTATATTTTTTCACTTGTATTCCTGTTTACCAAAACTGTTGCTTTTTGGTCTTCCCCACCAACAGGGCAAACATTAGTCAAGCTCCAGAGGGGATCTGTTTCGAAGTTTTTAGCCATTATTACTTTATCCTGTTCCATGACTTTTGCTTTGTCTTCTGTTGAAAGTCTTTTCGTTGTATCCAAAATGTGATTAACGTAGCGGGATCCAAAACTAATGAGTTCTGAATTTTCTCCTGTTATATTTTGCATGTATACCTACAAGAATAATATGGGTGGAAATAAAGGAAATATACGAAAGGTTTCAGGAATTCCTGGTTGGGCAAAAGACATCTGGCAAATTATTTTTTTTTACTTCGTGTGGCTTGATTTATCATGAACATCAGGTGACATTGGGTCCAGTTCCACTATTGTGCAGTGAAGTATTTTTTTATTAGTCTTTTCCCTTCCACTCCATTCAGTCTGGGCAGAAATATTCTGAATTTGTCGGAGTTAGAATTGCAGACTTCCTATGCTGATAAATAAATCAATACTTCCTACTAAAACTCTAAAAGAAAATATCAAGATAGGATGGGATTTATGTATTTATCCCAGGAGAGAGGAAAGTCGACAAGACGGCCTAACCATTTGGCGAACCACAGCCTCTCTTCCGGTTGCATTCCATGTCGGGTATGGGATTACAGGATTAGTTAGTTTAAGAGGTATGGACTTGAATATTAATTTTACTAAATATTTATAACAGTCTATTAAAGAAAGTTGCAATTTTTAATACCAAAATTAGTAGTAGTATCAGTAGTTTATGAATAAGTACTTACCTGTAGTTTTTTCAGATGGCATTCCAGAAATTTCATTTCGGCTTTAAATATTTCCATATCTCTCTTATTTTCTGCTTTTTTATTGCTCGCCCAATCTTGGATTTCTTTCTGTTGTTGTTTAAACTCTGTTTCAGGATTAGGAACTCCTGAGAAGCTGGTGAAGCATCTTTGCATTGGCAAAACGACATGAGATCTTTTACCAAATATTGTATTAGTTTCCAGTGTCATTGTTGCCATATCCCTTTTTGCGATTTCAGTGTTGCAACTGAAGTCAGTTTTACTGGGATGATCGACACCTGTGGATTTATTATTTCTCTCAATTTTCCTGGTTTGGGTTTCACAATTCATAATTCCAAGATTGCATATTCTATCCTGGAAGGTAACCTGTGTACCTTGCGTACTTGTAGTTTTACCAATACTGGCCATACACTCCATAAAATCAGACATTGCCATTGTTTCAAATCGCTTTTGCTTAGCGCCGGGATTAGGCGGAACTAGCAAAATGTAAGTACTTTCGTCATACATCCTGATTTTCTAGTATTTATAAAGTTATCTTTATACTAACGTAGTCCTGTAACAATATATAAGTTTTTTTTTATTGCACTGGTGGCTCTGCAATCTGTGAACCGAATGCGAAGCCGGGGACATTCGAACCGTGGGAATTCTCGTGTTGTTTGATGTACGCGTGAATAGTGATGGAAAAAAACATTATCCTCTCGTCCCGGGAGACGGACGAGCGCGCGGCCGCCGACTGATCTCGAAGTCACGGCTGTTGCTATTTATAAAATAGATATCACGTGCGGTTCCCATGTGCGCGATAAAATGGCGCGAACTTGTAACCTTATCGTAAAACGAAGATAACAAAATTATTTCTGTGTGTTTCAAATAATAACAACCTCCTTTAGAAGTAGTGAGACTATGATACGAGGAAACTAACAAGTACATGATATTTCCCATGTTTTAAACTTTTTTCGGATAGTTGGAACCCACACTAACCCTAACCCATGGGTTTTCGCACCCGCATATAGATTGAACCCGTGGATATACACATGGGTTCAAATGTACGGTCACCAAAGTACGCATACAAGTGGGTCAAATCATTACTTTCTTAGTAGCTCATATTTACCTTAACAAGCGCTGGAACAGCAGAGCGATGTTTTCACGGCAAGAGAGAGGACAGGTCATTTGCAACTAAAGTACGCATACAACTGGATCAATCATTTCTTCCTTATCAGCTCATATTTGCCCACACAAGCGAGGGAACATAAAAAGCATACCATTATCATACAAGAAACATGTGATTGAACAACGCATTCCTTCAATACTGTTACGAATAACGCTTTGTAAAAACTCACCGAAATATTACCTAACTTCAGTTATATTCAATTAAAGAGTCCAGCTGCACACTAACACAAATGTATTTCTGTAACGTTTCGTCCGACCAGAGTCAGACTTCCTCAGACAAGCAGTTTACAACCCAGTTTGTAAACTGCTTGTCTGAGGAAGTCTGACTCTGGTCGGACGAAACGTTACAGAAATACATTTGTGTTAGTGTGCAGCTGGACTCTTTAATTGAATAGAATAGTCATGTTTATTCCAGCTACAGTATCCTTGCAGTATACGCATACGGATCCACTAGCATAAAGGCATAGGGAAAAGATAGGAAGTTAGTCTCGCGCAACCCAACTCAAATTTAACTTCAGTTAGATCGCATTTGCAAACTACTAAGCAATGGACTAAGGGCGGCATTATTTATGCTATCACGAAACAAATCCACGCTTCCCCAATTATGAGCTAACAATCTCAGGTTGTCGCAAGAAAAAGAAAATTGAATGCAGAGCTCAAAACCAACTTTTGTTTATAAAAATCGGGCTGTTTATTGCGCGATGTTTAAGCGTAACGCGCCATAAGCAAATAAGTTTATCTCTGAAAACGCAAGGATCGCAAACAAAACAGCTCAAATCGCCTGGATGATGGCCCATAAACTCACAAGTGTGTTTGTTGTAACAGCGGGACATCGTTTTTCCATAAATCATTATTTGTGGTAGATTGGATAAACCTGCGAGCTATTCCCTTACATTTGTGTTGATGAAGTCTTTTGTACTGACGGCCAAGGTATTGCTATAATATTCAACTTTTCAAGCCTTCATTATAGTTGTATACGAGATTAAATGAAAAACAACCGACGGTAACCGTAGTTTAAATACATAATATCCCAGTTATTCTAAAAAGTTAGCGCTATTTTTCACAATGCAACATTCGTTCAAAAGTACTGGCACTAATGGCCGAGAGATGCGCTCCGTAAATTTCCAGGTGAACACAAAACAGATGGCAGACTTTTACAGTATCCATCCAACGCTGCTATACTAGGAATAACTGCGACCATAAATGCTACATTATACTAATATATTGTCTCTGCTGCGTATCACTTCCTATATGCGACCGAGCTTTAGGGCCCGTCATCAAATTAACGTGCAAGAGCTGGAATGGCGAATGTATACTCTGAAAGAAAACAGGTCTTTGTGACTTAAGTACGCATACGGTAAACATACGTCAACCATTACTTCCTTAGGGTCTCGTATTTACGTACAAGCGAGGGAACTGCACGAGCGTACCTTTACCATACAAGAAGCAGGTCGCTTTGTAAAAACTTAGCGAAATATTACCCAACTTCAGTTCGATCGCATTTGCAAACTACTAAGCGATGGACCAAGGGCGGCGTTATTTATATTATCACGAAGCAATTCCATGCGCTTTCCCCATAATGAATAAACAATCACGCGTTGACGAAAGAAAAAAATTTGAATGCAGAGCTTAACCAACTTTATTTATAAAAATCGGGTTGTTCATGGCGCGATGTTTAAATCG